TATATGGCTCCAGCTATTTTCATGACATTTACTATGTGCGTAGATTCTGGGGCGAAAAATCGATCTAGCTAGGTTTCATTTTTAGAAAATGTCCTTTTATCCCTGTTTTCAGGGAATGAAAAATATTATTCGAATATGACAGTAAATTTCGCCACAAAAAAATGTTATAATAGCTCGGTCGGTAATGGGGCGGCCCCAAAACAGACGGCCGTGGTTCGTATCACGATCATTTACACACTTATTGTTTTTCACTTTTTTTCTATACCAGATCATTTTATTTTTAATTTTTTTTATTTCCAAAATACATGATTTACCAAAAAAAAACCGAGCAAAGCTCGGTCCTCCAGGTACTTTTGTATTAATAAGTGTTTGCATGCACCATATAATTAAATACTCGCGAAAGGGCACTGAAGATATTTTAAATTTATGACAACATCTCCGGCGATAATTAAATAAAACCGAAACGATATCAAATTCCAACATAGATGTGTTCATATGCTAATCTAGATAATTTCACGCTTGGCTTAAGTAAGCAGCGCATCCACAAAACGATGTCTTATCGTCGATTTAAATAAACACCGCATTCGACATTTGCGTTTATGTAATTTCGGCAAACGTATGTGGCGAAACGTTTTAAAACGTATCCTCTGTTGATAAAGTTGGTTATTAATTAGGTCTTAACTAAGGTATTCGGTACGTTTAATGAATTGCTTAACTTTACTTATTGCTTTCACTATTCTCGATCGGCATGTAGTTTGGCGTTAGGACTAAACGTGCACATATTTACGATTTCTGTTTTTATTCATGTGAAAGTTTGGCAAGGTAGCAGGCATCATCTACAAGAACTGAGGGATCAACCTTAAAAAAAAGGGGGCCCCGATACCTTAATCATTAGACGAAACGCGAAAGCATAATACTTCCACTCCATGCTGGTCTTCTGTGACGTCGTGGTACATCCTCTACCCATGCGTGCCACAGAAGCAGCTTCATGTTATGTTTACTTTATTATAATACTAGCGACCCGCGCTGGCTTCGCGCGGGTGCAATGTAATATACACATAAACCTTCCTCTTGAATCAATTTATCTAGTAAGAAAAACCGCATCAAGATCCGTTGCGTAATTTTAAAGATAAATAGGGACAGACAGACAGCGGAAAGACTTTGTTTTATACTCTGTAGTGATATTCCATATTATATTAGAGCTATTCATATTTCAGTTTCTTTAATTTAATAAATCTTTATTTTCGTATACTAACTTTGTAATAAAATTGTTTTTTTTTGGGTTCTATTGTGCTACTAAAGCAACTCATTCTGTTTACGAAACGGAAATTCGCAAAGCAGATTAATTAGGCAATTCTAATAGGTTATTTAAAGTAGGTTCCTATGTTAATACTAAAAACCATGCCTAACAGAGGACCTAATAGGGGTCCTATAAAAAAAACTGATGATGGAATCAAGATAATAGTTGGTATAAATGCAACTGAGTATTCAACGCATGTTTCTGCATTGTACGAGTATATAATTAATGACGTTTTTAAATAAATAACTTTTAGAAAAAAAATATTTTCAATTTTCTACTATACTTAATTTGGGGCAACAACAAATGAAAAATTGTCGGTTATAGTAGTGGATAATTCATAACGTTGTTGTGGGCGAATATGGCCGCCATTTTGAAAGTTATCTCACCGATACGAGTAACAGCGTAGGTGAGAATTTTAATATTGTTTACATGAATATACATATATGCATATAAAATCTTATGCTTGAAATTAAATTTTTGGAATTGAAAGACGATATCGATACCCAACGCTTACAAAAGCCTTAGATTACAACAGCGGAGGCGAAAAGTAGAAGGAAATGTTGATAGAAATATTTTTCAACTTTTTGTATTTTAACATGGTAGTTGTTTTAACTGTGGTAGGGCAACGCAGCAGCCTTGACTGTCGCACGAATGGGCAGGCTCGTCCGGGTGTTCTCTTGGCAATTATGACATAAAAAAATGTAATATCGTTTATAATAGCGCACGAGTCTATTATGAATTGTACTACTACAACCCTAAGTACAATGTATAGGTCCAGACGTAAAAGAATATCTAGAATCTAGTCATTCTAAGGATTCTTGCCCGAACAAGAGATTTATCATATAATATGCATATTTCGCAGCGTACCTCGCATAAATGTCAGATAATAACAAGTACTACTACTGGGAAGTTCTGTACACAAGGGTACAAAAATCCCGTTTAGTAAACTGTCTGTGAAGGACGCGTGCCTGAATGCATACGCGCGTTTGCCATCTCGCTCACGCAATTCGCTATTCCTCTTTTTGACCCTCAACCCGTAATACTTGATTGCTTTTATTACCATTCAAACGAGTTAGGCATCGTGATTGGCGGATTTTAATTTCGTACAAAGCGAAATTAGGTTGTAGTTTATGTACAATGCAAATAGGGAGTAAATTTATCGGTTAATTACGGTTTAAACGGTCAAGGGAAAGAGGGAAGAAAATAAATATTCATTATCAGATTAGGATAATACTTTTTAAACAAACGGTGATAACATTTTGACGATTTTCTGATTTATAACTTTAATGATACCGTATTTTATAAGCAAAACAGGAAACTATATAAACCCAATAGGTATTTCATGTTTTTTTTTTTTACTTTTACTTAAGTATTTACATTTTTTTAAAACAAAGTTTTAAAAAAAATTGTTATCGAAGTTTTGAAAAAGATACCACAAAGATATGACAACTAAAGATCTTGGATTGGTACGTTGGCACGTTGCAAAATCATTTAAAACTTTTAGAGCAAAATAATATTCCAGATTTATCTAAAATATTGTTTTAATTACGATAAGCTTAAATTTGATATCAAATGAGTAGATTATCTTGATGTTATGGAAAAACTGCATAAAACTCTCAACAAATAATAATAAGAAAGTAAAATTGTAAAGTAAACTGAAGCCGTCAGTACAAATGACTATTTTTTTTGTTTGTGAAATAAATAATTAAGTACTTATATATGTAAAAAGTTTACCTACCGAAGCTCTCTGTGAGTTTAAGCATTACCCCGCCGATGTGCATGTCTCCTTTTACGACCATAGTCCTTTTTTCGTTTAAGTCCGTAACATATATCGTGAGATTCCATGATCCATCACCAACTATTTCGCCGTCTGCCAGCATTTTGAACGAGTTCTTTTACACTTTAAAACTAGAAAATGTCACTTCCGATAAAGCATCGCGAATACAAGCGTTAACATTACGTCCTACTAACACGCTGGTGTTTGCTCGACTGACCATAGAGCCATAGAATAGATTACCGATTTATGAAAGTGATGTGCGAGTCGAGTTATTTGATTCGAGTAACTCAAATCGAGTCATATCACGATTGAACATCATTATTATTGTTTTCTTGATTTTACGCGAATATTATACATATTAAATGAAACTACTTTACGGATTTTATCGCGTTTTTTATTTTAATTTAAATTCCCGACGTTTCGAACCCTTTCCAGCGTTCAAAAATCGATCGGAATAAAAATAAACAAAATAATTGACGGTGGCCGGGGTTAACTATGACATCAAGACGTCTAACAACTTAAGTCTGTCCCGTGACCATGAACGCTAAAAGGGTTCGAAACGTCGGGAATTTAAATTAAAATAAAAAACGCGATAAAATCCGTAAAGTAGTTTCATTTAATATCATTATTATTATTACCTATCTATCAGCTTCAAGTCGAATTGACTCGAGCTCCTCGAGTCCCGCCGAGTCCCCTCTCTCTCCCTACACATCGAGTCGAGTCTACTCTAATTGCGACTCGAGTCAGTAGCAGTTACTCGAGTTGATATAACTCGAGTAGTAACTCGAGTCAACAAAAAATCCAACTGGTTAATTTAGTATAGAGTTAGTATTTAGTTGGGATTGAGAATTGGAATTTAGAGGTTAGACGATCGCGATGAATTTAATTCTCCATATTTGTCATGAATGAGGTCCTCGACTCTCAGCTGGTCTATGATATATCTATGTGCCAGATCGCTGTTGAATTGCTTATATTGTTCTGTTATTTAATAGCGAGACGGCATGCGGTCATTCACGCGTTGCGATATCAATTAAACTTTTAAATTTTAGAATTAATGGTTATCGCGAATTGAGTATATTTGTAAATATTATGTTTCGTGAATATTTTCTTAATTTAAAACTCTGTTTTCCTATCTTATTTGTTTTCGTAACTGATTGTTCTTCGTTATTAAGGCAAGGTTCAAACTTCCAATTGAAGGACCTTTGAATCGTGTCGTGCCTTCTCCTCCTTGTCCGTTGAATTGTCCATCTTTTGTTAACAGGGTCGTGCAGATGACATGGAGCGGACGGTCATCTATCTGCGGAATACTTCCGACGAAGTTGCCAAGGTCAAACAACAAAATAAAAAAAGATGCTGCACAGTTCCATATATCTCTGCGTCCAGTGGAAATGTGTGGAGAAAGACTTATTAGATACCCAGGCATGGCAAGAAAACAAATAGTAAAAGAAAAGGACAATTTACTTGCGTCATTTTTCGCATCAACCGACTTCAAGGCTGGAATTAATAAGTTTTTATAGCGCTAGTATGTGGGCATCAAAACTTTATATCTACCATAGCATGGAATTCCATGCTAGATTTAGATGAAAAAAATTAACATTATCTGTGGTTTTGATGTCACAAACGTCAAGTTGACATTAACAATTAATGACATAGGTACCTAACAAATTGCCAAGAACTTTACACGGTGTATCAAAATATCAAATTTGAAATTATCAAAGATTTATAATTTATATCACACATGCCTCGGTTCTTGATATTTTGTATTCAAGTATTATGATATTTTGAAATTATTATTTATTACAATACCACATAATTTCTCTTATTGATATGTAGTGGATGAGATTTTGTAATTTCTGTACATTTTATATTCACGGTTGCTTAAAATTATTTATGACGAGTAAACGAGCTGCATCTTCCATTGAAATGGTTGCGTTTAAAAACAAAAACAAAGGTAATATTACTTTGGATATTTCTGTTTGTCATCAAGGTTTCTATTTTATCCATCAATAATAAAAAAAAAAAAAATGAAAATACGGAAATTATGTTTCCTTTTTAAGTTAAGGTTTGTGTGCCAGGTTATTATTAGTTAGTGTATGTAACTGTGAAATCTTTAGTAAGCAAATTTTTTTTGCAGTTTTATGCTCAACTCCGGAACATAGGATTGAGTCACCATCAAGAGACAGTGACTCATTATATGACTCTGATGCTGCTAGTCCCGTCCCATTCTTATGCACTCAAGATGGTACCGAAGGCGAAACTGATGTTGTTTGGAATCACTACACCCCAAAATCAGACACAACCAAAACTCGATCCAAAAATACAACACCTCTTAGTAGGAGATCCAAGAAGTCTCTGAGGCCAAAAATTATTGAAAAACCTGTACCAAAACGTAAAGCTGGGAAGCCATCACAAAAAAGAAATGAACTTTTACTAGAACTTTTAGAATTAAACCAAAATTTGCAAGACATTATTGGTAACAAAGAGATAAAAACTACCAATGTAGAAAATCAAGACATTGATGAGGATATATTGAGTAATTCATTAGAATTCTCTCCAAAATGTAGCATAAGAAATAATAGTTGCCTTAGAAAAAATGTTCTTAGTTCTAAATTCCAAAAGCCTGAATCGGAGAATGGGTTAGAATCAGATGATTCAATGAATGAATGCTTATTGAGAGCAAGTCAAATGGTTGAAGAGAAAATATTAAGGGATGATTTACCAAAAAAGAGGCCACATGATATTATTAAAATCAATAAAAACTGTATACAATCTACAATCAACTTCAAAATGGACCATGACTCTATGGATGCTATACTTAATAGTATAAAATTGGATTCACCATGTGCTAAACGAGTAAAAAAGTGTGAATCACATCAGATTGATAATGATTCATTTGATAGTTTTTTTGGGAACTTAAATGATAGTGCATTAGAAAAACTTACCCAGATGCCTTCAAAAACCAATACACCTGTTAGAGAGAGTGAACAAAAACATACTGTAAATATAACAGAATTTGGGTCAGAATGTCAAAGTCCATTTACGAAATCAATTTTCAGTCGTCATAACAGTATGCCAGAATCTCCATCAATTGATAACTTTAATAAACCATCGACAAGTGGTATGGTTTTTGGACGTTACAATTCAATGCCAATCAATAAAGATGATCAAAAAGGTATTAAAAGCAAAACTGCATTTATAATATTGGCAATATTAAAGGTTTTGTTGAATTTTATATTTCAATTAACATGTTTACTTTACAGAACCTGGTGATTCTCCTATAAGATGTACTCCTGAAGAAATAAAGAAGAAGCATCAATTAGCAAGAGAGAAGTTATTAGCCAAAAGACAACTGCCTTTTACAACTTCACAATCTACAAATTTATCATCGCAGCTATCACAACCAGCAGTTGAGACCAAGAAACCAAAATTTCAGCCAAAAGTTGCTAGTGATAGAGCATTTAATGTCCAGAAAAGCAATGTGACACAATCAAAATATGATAAATTTCTTGAAAAATCAAAAGCAGGTATTAATGGTAAGACCATAGATATAAAATCTATAGTTGAAAAAAAGAGACAGGAAGCATTGATGAAATTGAGACTGCGTAAGCAGAGTAAAACATGATTATAGCATGTGTTATTTGTTTTATGTTCTTTAAATTTAAAGTGATGAAGGTGGAAGGATAATAAGTGATTCTTTCAATTATTTATGATTAATAATTAAGGATTTAAATTAATGTAAGCTATGCCATTGTATAATATTGATTTATTAAGCAAAATTATGTGAATATGGTTGAAATATTTCATACAAATCCCATTTGTTGTTGCTGATTTTTTATTAAAATATATAAATGTCGATTATAATGTCTTCTATTCTCATATGTCCTATATATCTATAGCTGATACTGCTTAAAAGACAGAAGAGTTCTCTCGAGATTGGGTGAGTTTTTCCTCATACTTAAGTTTATATTAAGCAAGACACCACTAAAGTATATTAAGTTCATAACAACGACAATTAGTTTATGAAAATAAAAAGTCCCTTGATTAACCGCGTTGCGAACGGGCGCCTAGGCGAGGTCGGTACAAAATGTGAAACATTTTGGTTGGTATTGACTAGGTTATGTACGAGCAGCCGACTACCTGATGTACGTCAAGCAACTCTCCGTGGGAATAAAGACCTAAATCCGGAACAATTATCTGTGAGTAACTGAAATACTTGTCCCTGTAGGAATCGAATGCACGGCCCCCGTCGCCCAAACTACTCGCTTGGTAAGTGCGCAACCGAGTCGACCATACTATAACTACTATTAAATAACAACAATCGCAAAATTGTAGCTGGCTTACTCTAAAGCAGGAGTTAAATTGTAAAATTTCGTCTACTCGAAAAGCTTAAAAATGACCACAATTCCGTTGGTTTCTCCTGTTGTACGTACTATAAAAAAACTTCAGATTGTTCACAGATTACCTAATTTTGTATCGATAGTTTTTGCAATCCTAGGACTAGAGAACGTCATTGATAAATGTGTCCTAAAATATTTATTTATTATTAATTTTTGTGAATTGTTAGACCGCCAGCTTTGACAGTTTCATCATAATACGGCTTCAAGATTACAAGACATTTACTGACTCCGTGACTCGTTGTGTTTTTATTTTAATTTTATTTCGTTTAATTTTTTGTGCTAGGGGTAGGGGGACTGCAATCTTTCATGTGCCTAGGGCGACAAACCTGCCGCTGGTACTACGGCTACTGCTTATTACTACCTAGCAGTAACTTCACTTGTCTTATGCTTATGAGTTAACTAGGTGTAGGTATAATCGTTATCAGCTTTATTCCACATAGGTTATCTAACCGATATTTGTTGTTGTACCGATATTGTTTAAGTTTCTGGGTGCTTATACAGGATGGCTTTTCAAAGTGTATCCATTTTTTTTCTAAATTCTAGTTATTAATAATGTTATACAGCGTGTCTTTGAAAATCGCGACAATAAATAAACACACATATAGAGGATAACTTTTTAAAATTGTACTAAACATTTACATTCTTTAAATATCAATATTTACCGAGTTATTAAATTTTCTTAAAAAAAGAACTTTAGAACACTCTTACGTATAAAACTGTAACGTAAAGAGGCTTGTAATGCGACGCTGTGGCGCGAGTTGTATAGGTGTTACAAATTTTGTTTCTTTTTTACTTAATTAGTTTGTTTTAAAAAAAAAATATGGATTTTTTATGATTATTGGCAAGTAGCGTTAGATGTGTGTTCATTATTGTCGCGGTTGTAACGATACACTGCAGGTATAATCTCTTATTCTTTAAACGAGCAATTCTTGTATATATATATATATAATCGGAATCTCGGAAACAGCTCCAGCGATTTTCATGAAATTTAGTATGTGCGTAGATTCGGGGGCGAAAAATCGATCTAGCTAGGTTTCATTTTTAGGAAATGTCGTTTTATCCCTGTTTTCAGGGAATGAAAATATCATTAGAATATGACAGTAAATTTCAACGCAAAAAAAAAAAATTATAATAGCTCGGTCGGTAATCGGACGGCCCCAAAACAGACGGCCGCGGTTCTTATCACGTTCATTTACACACTTATTTTTTTTATTTCAAAAATACATGATTTACCAAAAAAAAAACCGAGCAAAGTTCGGTCCTCCAGGTACTATGTAATTATTTACAAAAGAAAAGTATGTTTAAGTATGTTTATCTACTACCCATAGTACAAGCATTGCTTATTTGGGGACTAGAAAACATTGTGTTAAGATGTTTCATAAAATATAAATTTATTTATTCATTATGTTAGTACAGTTTTTGTGATAACGGATATCAAAGTTTTGTAAATCGTCATAAAACGGTACGTACCGCATAACCGTTTTCAGTTACGTTTTGGTAGATCCGACCATGCCTTTATTAGAATTAATGTCAGTGTCAGAAACATAATTAAATGTCAATGTCTTTGTGGCGGAATCTAGTAAATTTAATTATCGTTTTCGGTCTTACTAATACATTACGTTAATACTGTGAACATTGTATATACTTCATACGATAAAGTTTAATAAATAGATTTTTAAAATATTAAAAGGGAGAAGAAAGGTTAAGTTAAAAGAAAACATTGGCGGTCATTACAAAACTTACCTATTAAAAACTTAGGACCTGCTTAAAATGGCTCTTAACTACTTCCGTCAAGTGGCTAAAGTAATATGTAGTAATCCTAAAAAGAGTAATCTTAATATATTACGATTTTTAAGTGTGACTAAACCTGCTCAACTTGGTATGATCCCGATTGTGGTGGAGCAAACTGGAAGAGGTGAAAGAGCTTACGACATTTATTCAAGACTATTACGTGAACGCATCATTTGTTTAATGGGGCCAATAAGTGATGAAATAAGCTCATTGGTTGTTGCACAACTACTATTCTTACAATCAGAATCTAGTAAGAAGCCAGTACATTTGTACATAAACTCCCCAGGTGGAAATGTAACAGCTGGTTTAGGAATATATGATACAATGCAGTACATAACTCCACCAGTTGCTACATGGTGTGTGGGACAAGCTTGCAGTATGGCGTCATTGTTGCTGGCAGCTGGTGCACCAGGGATGCGTCATGCTCTTCCTAACTCTCGTATCATGATTCACCAGCCATCAGGAGGTGTGAGGGGTCAAGCAACCGACATCCAAATACAAGCAGAAGAAATCCTAAAGCTAAAAGCACAAATAAATATGTTGTATGTAAGGCATACAGGCTTGCCATTAGAGAAAGTCCAGTCATCAATGGAGAGAGATTGCTTCATGTCCCCTACTGAGGCAAAAACATTTGGAATCATTGATAATGTTCTTGAACATCCACCATCACATGCTATGGAGAATGAAGCCGTACCGGCTTCTGGTTCTAGTACAACAACTCCTAACTGATATCTACTTAAATGAAATATGTGACCTAAAAAGATTAAATTAACAATGGGGTGTAGGAGACAGCATGAGCTGATTTAAATGTAAAATAATAACATATTTTTATTTTTTGAACTGATAAATATGGTTTTTTAGAAGAGAATTGTAATTCAAAAAATTTAATAAAAGAAAAGAAAAATTATATTTTGTAATTATACATTTATATCCATTTTTTTTACCAAAACCATATACCAAAATTTTTTATGAAATAATTTGGTAATGATTGTATAAAAAAAGCAACCAGTCATTGTACAGAACTATTACTAAATTCCTGTCCTGTTTACGGTGTCACTGGATGGCTTTAACTTACGGAAAAAAATTGTATAATGTAACATTAAATTTCATACAAACCAATATTTAAAAAAAATTAACAATTATAAATAATGTGTTACAAATTGCTATAATATTAATGAGATTTTGTGTTTGAGATTATTAATGAGTTAGTTTGTGTGATTGAATCTCTATATATGGCCAAAAGTGTTTAAAGAAGTGTGATGTTATTATAATATTAGTATTTAAATTATATGTATTACTTATTTATTGTTTTAGGTAGAAGTATATAATAACAACAAAATAAAGTAATTGTTACAGTTATTTTAAATGAAAGAAAACATTGTCATGAAATGTGGGCTCTGGTTCCGTTGATCACCAGACGAAACACGAAAGTACAAAACTTGTACTAATGTTACGCCGGTTTTAGATTAGGTCGCTCCCCGGATGCTGTATATGGACGACTTTTAGGTATTTGCAGGGTTAGGATGTGGTGTTTGGATGCTTTCACCAGCAGTAGGGCGCATGAGCTGATGAGACATGTTCATTACCTATTTATTAATATTAGGGTTACCTCAAAAATTTACCAGATGGCGCTATTGTTACTTAAAAATTGTTTTTTGTGTAAAAAAATCGCAATATAGATAAAAAAAAGCCTGATCTAAGTACAAAACTGATCTTGATTCAAATTGATGTAGGCGTTTTCGCGATACACGATGGCTACTGGATGGATGATATACTGGATGGATGGCTTTTCTAAGTGTATGCATTTTTTAAATTAAATTCTAGACAAATAATGTTATATAAAAATGATTTAAAATAAATATTTTTTTTTTTTTTTTTTTTTTTTTTTTTATTTAAAATCACTCGTAATTAATTAATTACATTCATTTGAACTTATCTCAAAAAGTGCGTGATTTATGGGCAACTCATTTATTTTACGCGCGATTATTCAAATTATTTCGAAAATATGCAGGTTTCCTAACGATGCTTTCACCGCTGAGCACGTGATAAGTCAGCACTTGAAATTAACAATTTCATTGGTCCCGACACCGAAATCAGGTTGCTCAAGTATATTGAATTAAAGGCGAGCGCCCAGACTGTGGTATTCTCCTAAAAAACAAACATTTGTTGTAATCTAGATTGTTTATGCTAAGGGTCAGTGAAGACAAACAATTACGGCTTAATGTTATTTCTATTATAAATCACAAATAATGTAAAAAAAGAGGAGGCTGTGTAGGTTAAAAATAACTTTGAACCGTTAAAAATGTTGTGTCCTTCATCTAATCCATATTTGCAAAGAGAACTATCCCTAATCCTTAATCTGGCAAGGTGGATGTGAGTGGGAACCGAATCCTCGACAACCGGTGCCGAAGCTGATACTTTGGTATTTGCGCAACGGAGTCATCTTCGTCTTTATCTTCTTATATACCATGATAGATGTTTGCGCTTTCAGTCCGTACATTACATAAAGCTTGAGGCATTACAGCTTGTGAAAAGGCTACGTTTCCATGAACTTATCCTTGCCTTACCAGCTATAGTTCGTCGGGGTTCGGTATATTTAAGCCCACTCGTCCCTATCTGAGCGTAATTTTTTGAGTGAAACTTATTAAGTAAGGAAGAGTATTGAATTGTTTTTACCACTTTACACTTAAGAACCCATTGCAGATCAAGAGCCGTTTGAAAGAATTTGCCACGGGCCTTGCGTTTGCTTAATCCGGCACAGCCGGAAGCAGAACCAGGCCCCGCGCCAAAAGGCATATTAAACCAACTATGTAATACAGTAAGTAAGTACTTTTGAAATAATGTAATCGGTATATTGTATTGAACATAGTCTTTTATTATTTAATATTGATACATAATCTGCTTAAAGAATTTTTTGTGTAATTTATGCATGCAACATTATGTCACATTTTCTTCCCACAGTATAACGCTCGAGATTTTTTTTTTATCCATTCCAAATGATAAGAGATGTTGGTGTAAATCACAAGTCCTGGGTATGTTGAATATCTGAATGACACTATGCCGATCTGTCGATATTTTGGGGCAATCAACGCACTGCCGGAGTCTCCTCTGAAAGAAAATAAAGTTGGTTCAATATAATTATCATTTGTATAGGTAGTTTAGGTAGTACATAAGCAATAAGATAGTTTTAATATATATATTTTCTGCGTGTGCAAGAAAGTTAGTTTGTAATTTAGTAAATCCCCAAGATAAAAAAGTGCGTTAAGATCATTGCACATTCTCATAAAAAGTGAATTAAGGCCAAGATTAGTTTACGCGCGATGTATGAAAGAGTTTATAATTTTTGATTAATTATTTTATTTTAATTAATTATTATAAATTCAGTGTGGATGCCCAATAACTGCAAATGTTCAATGTATGTACCTACATATTATGACTTCTTTAAAATCACTATTAATCCCATGTCATAAATACTTGGGTTCGTCGCCGTCTTATATTCTGTTATTATATCTACATTAAGGTTTGGATTGGAGTATTTCACGCTGTTTTATTAAAAAAAAATTAGTAGGCATCGGTTTTATTCCAGAGCGCGTTAGATGGATCAGTGGTGAAGCTCAAATAAGCTCTGGTAAAAAGAAGAAGAAGAAAGTTAAGAAAAAAAAGTAGAAAATGAATAAGAGGTAAAGAAATGTAAGTGGAGAACTTATACTGCAACAAGAGGCCGTCGAACTTGTTTAAGTTTGTAAGTAAAGTGAAGATTAGAATACCGGCCTTTCACTTCAATCGCGAAACCCCTAGCTAGCAACGATATTAAATAAAGATTAAAATTCGTATAGAAATTACTTACTGACTTGGTCTTGCATATTTACTATAAACGCTGCCCGCGCACATCACCCCAGGCAACAGATTTCCCAGTTTGAGACATGTTTGCTTTGATCTTACTGTTTGTTTTGCCCATTTCAATAACGCTGTGCCCTGTTTAGTCCCGTCCTAGATAAATGATTTTTTATAAATAAAAATTGTCAGGAAGTAAATGACTCCTTGAGAGATATAAGCAGATAAATAGCTGATCAGTGATTGTCTTTATGGTCTCGTTAAGTATTAGCTGGTTATCTTCTAGTGTACTTAACTCATTGATGGGCTCAGGGCGTTGAGAGTACCGACCAACCTTACTGCCAAGGGGGAGCCTCTTGGGATTAAGGTTGGACTTAAAGATTGAGATAAGGATTGAGACACTTCTTTCCAATATCTACATATGGCTTTTCTGGGATCAATAATTTTCTCACGGATTTTATCGTCAAGGGTGACTTTGTATGCTCTGACGCCAACCCGTGAACGCAGGTAACCCACAAGTCGTATACAGTGTTTTTTTCACATATCTATATATGCGCATTATGTATTGCAATGAATGTTTCTAACATTCAAAAAATACATAATGCGCATAGAAGTGTAAGGGTTGGGTTATATACAAGCCGAGAAAATGTTCCTCAAAAATATTTCGATGAGTGTCAGAATAAACTTGTGACTGTAGTCGAATTTCGGTCGTGCTTAATTTTCGATTGATGCCGTATTTATTCAGCCTCATATAGCCCTAATAAAATTCAACTATAACAATGTATTTATATCCATCGCCTGCAGCTTTTTAAACCGTATTCGGCCATACTTTGACTATGGTTGGGCCACGCAACAATTCCCTGTTGCAGGAATGGGCAGGCCCGTTCGGGGAAGTACCACGACCTTACGGCAGACCGGCGTGAAATGTAAGTGACAAACCTCTGCGTTTCGTCAGATGAGTGAGGTATCCGGGGCCCGCTTTATTACAACGAATCTGCAACGCTGCGGATGTTGCAAACGTCCAAGGGCGGCGGATATCACTTAACATCAGGTGAAAGCCACATCGCTTGCTACCTTCTCATATAAAAAGAAGTGTCTCATTCCAGTACATGCATCCTTCTATTTGGACGCCGCCGCTCGAAGGTAACGCATTTGTAATTTAATGTGGATGCCTGTATGCATGGGCAGGATTGATCACTTACCATCTGGTGCAGTGATCATCAAGCGGGTGCTTGTTTGCATCCCTTTCCAGAGAATAAATATGTCATATTTTTTTAATTTTTGAGATGTTTTTTTATTTACTTCTAAAATAAGCAAAAACAAATTCTTTGCGGGTATAAAAAGGGAAACAATAGGTACATATTGTTTCGGCGCCTGTAGCGCGCCATCCGTGGTAGGGACGAAGAAGCCACCTATCATTACTATCATCTTCATATCACGTCATATCTAACCAATCATCGGCAGCGCCTATGACGTGATGTTTTTGCAAAACAAATTACATTGAAGTACCTAAATTTGTAATGTTTTCTTTAAAACTTGCATTAAATAGTATTACATTCTTACGCTAATAATACATCAGTGAAAACTTACGAGTTGTTTGGAATTTAATACCAGATCTATCTTCAACACATATTAATAATCGTATTATTGCGTTATATTTCTTAATACTACGGTAAGAAATAAATTTATTAGGTGTAAGGTGACTTCAACTTGCCTATTAGTAAGTCTATTAGTAAGTTAGAAAATAATTAGTAAACTATGGATTAATTTATACAATATGTAATCTGTGTATTAGTTTTACTTACATTCACTACACCCCATCCAGCAACCACGCCTTGAAGACCAGTATTATCTTGTTTTGTAATTATGACCCTCTTAATGCTATCACCTAATGGTAAGTTACCTTGCAGAAGTATCAGCCCTATGTCATTTATGATGGTTTTGTCGTTGTACCTTTCGTGGATTATTATTTTTTGTGCCTTCCTTTTCACTTTCACCTTAATAGTATTCAAATAAAACAAATATTTTAGAATTGTCTTTTCGTTAAATTCGTTTTTAAAGTAACAGCCTATAAATGTCCCATTGCTGGGTAAAGAACTCATCTGTAAAGAGGGTGGACAGGGCATAATCCACCACGGGATCCCACTCCGATATGGCGGACTTCACATATCTTCGAAGTTTTTTCTTTTATTAATATTTAGAAAATAGGCAGGTTTCCTCGCGATGTGTTCCTTAACCACTGAGCAAGTTATAAGTCAGCACTTAAAATTAACAATTTCATTCGTGCTGGCACCGGGGATCGAACTTAGGCTCAGGTGACTCGAACCACGCCTCTCAAAATTCGTTTAAGTATCTTTATTATCAACAGCTAAAGTTACGTCCAATAGGCGTAGGTACCGACTAGTATCGGATAAGTATCCCTTCGCCAGAAGGGATTTCTATCTCTCTATAGTCAAGTCACTCGCGAGGTAAAACTTAACTATCCCAGGTAATCCGTTGGTAAGTTGTTCACGATTAACTGTTATTATATCAATAGCATAACTTTTTCTGTTGCTGGTACATTGGTAAATTGAGACACGTCGAAACTGACGAAGATCTAATCGTTTTGGATTTTGACGTTCTCCAACAGATGGATGCGTGCAGTCTCTTATAAAGCTTGTTGTTTTTACAATCAAATAAAATAATATAACAGGCTATATTATAGAAACGGGACGCAATATAAATACGAGGCTCGGTCTCGCCGTGTTCTGTGTGTTTTACTGTGGTACGGCTACACAACAGTTTGCACTGTTGCACGAATGGGAGGGTCCTTCCGGGAAATTACCAAGATCTCGCAGAAGACCGGCGTAAAGTAGAAGTGTTACACTTCTGCGTTTCATCTAGTAAGTGCGGTAGTCGGGGCCCACTTTATTTAAAGGTGGCAACGTATTTCCAACCCTACGGGTGTTGCAAATGTCCATGGGCGGCAGTTGACACATAACACCGGGTGAACCGCCTGGTCGTTTGCCACTTTTTCACATAAAAAATGGACGTTAGGCAAGAGGTTAGAGGTTTGTGGTTAGTATTTCCGAAAATACTCATCTCAGGGCCCGATTTAATCTAAAGCGCTCCAGTTTCTTATTTTTATGAATTGTTTTACCTGTCTTATATTTTCGTGACCCGCAAATGCGTCGATTCTTCCTTTTACCTCGCAGCCGAAAAGGCAATGAGCGGCTGTTAGGAGTATCTTTTGGTTTAGAACCGATGATCCGCATATCCATTTGCCATTACAGTCTGCGAAAATATAAACGCAGTATGGATAGTTCCGTATATTCGCAAATTCACCGTTTACCACAAAAGGCTCCATCTGCCTTTTAACAGAACAGTGAGTGTTTTTAAAAAGCGTAAGAGTAACCATTATCAAACACGATTGTATTCCATGCATCGTATTATTCGAGTTACTAATTCCGGAAGGTATTAGGTTATTAGCGCATTTACGATACCCAATTTAACGCAACTCTCTAATAGCGCTATAAAATGGGTTCGGGACAATCGCTATTAAGTTTACAAAATGATTTCTTCTATTCAAGTGACTATTACACGTGGATAAATGAAATATTTTTACGGATTTCATCAACAGATTGAGGGTGGTTTTGATTAACAGTAACATTAGGATGTTGAACGAATCATGAAGCAAAGGTGGTGGACATGAGTTAAGATGTATTTGCATTTTCGTAAATTAGTTACAATATTTTTATATAGCTTAAGGTAATTTTTATGTAATCTTTTATAGAATAGAATAGAATAGAATAGAATGGAACTGCAAAAGGGTTTCGAACTTTCCGTGAGTTCGTGTTTCAATGCTTAGGATGCTTCGTAAACAAATTGAGTTTTCCTCGAGAAACAAATTAGAGAACGGTGAATCTTACTGAGATCAGGCATTGTCTCTGATATTTTTGAACAGACAACGAGGAATTGCAAGTCTGTTGTAACTCACTACAATATGTAGCTGATAGACATGACAGCATCAATTACTGGATTCTGTTATAATTGGAGGAGCATTAGTGGTGAACTTTGATAATGAAAGCTGAAAATTACGAATATGACCATCCAAAAGTGCCTGATGTTGAAATTTGCTGATGAAAAGTCTTAATAGAATAAGAAAATAGCTAGTGATTTAGGACAATCGAGCTTGTGTACAAATCAAATGATAGTACCTGGAGGAGCTTTACTCGTTTTTCTTTGGTAAATCGTGTATTTTGGAAATAAAAAAAATAAAAAAAATAAAAAATTAAGAAAGCAATCATCTGGTATAGAAAAAAAAGTAAATGTGTAAATGATCTTGACACGAACCGCGGCCTTCTGTTTCGGGGCCGCCCGATTACCGACCGTTGAAAACATTTTTCTTTCGGCGAAATTTACCGTCATATTCGAATGATATTTTTCATTCCCTGAAAACAGGGATAAAAGGACATTTTCTAAAAATGAAACCTAGCTAGATCGATTTTTCGCCCCCGAATCTACGCACATACTAAATTTCATGAAAATCGCTGGAGCCGTTTCCGAGATTCCGATTACATATGTCGCAGGATCACGATATGACGCTATAATTTGATTACAACACCATCTATTGGTAGCTCTCGGAAACGTCAAGTAGTGCGCTTGAGTAAGGTCGATACAGGAAGTGAGAGAGCGGACTTGACGGTTATGAGTTGCGGAAGTCAATCGCACCACTGCTCGGACACACCACTTAGAAAAGGGACGGCGGTGCGAGCGGTCATCTTCCTGTATACAACTTGCTACGTTTCCATTCAATTACATAAGTGTGGTTAATAGTTATTTTTATTTTCTTAATTGTTAATTTTAATCGAACAAGTAAAGTACAATGCGTGATACGGGACTATTTTGTGATAGTACCTTTTATTTTGTGCGTACAACATGTCCGATGAGAGATCTGACAACGAGTTTTCCTATGTGATTCACCTATCTCCGACATATAGATATACTGTAATGTTTCTTGGTGTACAATAAAGTATATTTTACTTTAACTTTTACTTAATCTTGTAATTCAGTTTTCAAAATTTGGAATTTCCGTATGTTTTATATGCAACACGCTTTTATTTATAAAAATTGAGTATGTGATAAAAACGCAAACATTTACTATAAGGTGTAATGTTTTAGGGTTTATTAAAAATATCTAATAGGTATACGTACTTACGATATGGGATTATTGTGACGTAGACGAATACGTAGACCTATATAATGATATTTTTCTTATCAGGTTTAAATTATATAGCCACTAGTGCTGCTTGTCGTTATAATAGTTGTTAATATTAAAGTTCAGTAATAGTTCAAATATTAGAATCAAGGTAAAAACGTTAGAACTCTTATATCAGAAGTGGGATTCAATACGAAAACTCGCATTTGGCTGTTCAAACAATCGGCGACATATTTTCTCCTTCTGTACCTACCCTCGTAAAATAAAACACTGTGTTTTATACTTAATATACGTAATGGTGATAAATCTTTTGGTTAAATGTAACGAAAGTTTTGGTGAGTACCTTCCAGTTAATTAATTACTTATCATATTTGAGAAAATGTAAAATAGCGATACACAGGTGAAACTACTGAGCATTTTAGTATTTGGAAGATTTAAGGCATGAACTGGTAATGGGTATCCATTGTGAATACCACCACTGGTACTTAGACAACGTAGCGATACACGACTGGTGTAACCGGTAAAGCCACCTAAGTTTGATAAATCACTGAAAACTGTGAACGTGGCGATATGCGTCCCAGTTGTGAGGGATAAGCCACAGGGTAAGGTGTTCTGAACGTGGCGATATGCATCCCAGTTGAGGGATAAGCCACAGGGTAAGGTGTTAATTTTATGAAGGTTACTTGTACCAGACTACAACGCCATTCGAGGACGAAGGCGTGATGCAGTACGGCCGAATGTTGGCGTTGGCAACACATGAGCCAAGGGACACATGGTCGCATGGAGCAGTGGTCACTTGGATTTCGGCTGCGTTCCCGGACGGTGATATAACCAATAGTGCTGCTTTTCGTTATAATAGTTGTTAATATTGAAGTTCAGTAATAGTTAAAATATTAGAATCAAGGTAAAAACGTTAGAACTCTTATAATAATTATTTTTAAATTTTTAAATCTTTTTATTAACTATTATTATGTTCTTTAATAAAAGCTTGTTTTAAAAAGTTTTTTTCTTTTAATTTTTATTCATTAAAAGCGAGCGTTCGGACAATGAGATATCATAATATAAGCGTACTCATTATTTATCAAGCCGGATTGTAGTCCACGCACCGTGTTATTCGAGTGAACTATTAACAACGTTTAACAATTATTTAACCAATTTAACGTAACTTACTAATGGCGTAATAAAAGGCGGCTCGAGTAAATCGCTATAAAGATGAATTGCAACGTCAAATAATATAAAAAACAAACATACAATAGCATTGTTAAGTGTTATAAGTATAATTAGTATAAGTGAATTTAAAGTAAACACGTGAAGTAAAGTCCGCGGTATTAAGATTAAATCTCAATGATCTGGTGAATGAGACGTCGGATTGCGATTGACAGATGTGAGTTTGAAATTAAGTGGCGTTGAAAAATGGATTTTTATTACTTCTAGAAAATTAGGAGTAGTCTTAATAGATTATGCGCGTTGGATTGTAAAGCTGTATTGTAAGTTGGTGGTAAAGCCGAAAAACTCTTATGCTATTTAAATTCATTCATTTATTTACAAAACCTTACATTATCATTACAGGTATTTAACCTAATACAATAGTGCGGCAGTCTTCAACACTGGAAACACAACTACAAATTCGCAATGCAATCATTGTTAATTCAATCGGAGAACAAAAGATTAAATCTATATCCGTTATAATTATATTTAAAGTGTGCAGAGTACGTGTCCACGGAGCTTCGTGCACCAACTGGGAGCGCCCTTGTTAACTACAATTACTTTTTACCAATTTAACGCAACTATAGAATGGCTTAATTAAAGCAGCTTCAGTAACTCGCTACTACGTCTAATATCAAAGGCTAATGTGAATCGTATGATAACATTGTTGAAGGTGAACATTTAGTAAGTGATGTCTATTTGAAGTTAAAAGTTCAGTTCATCCTGGCCTATTTAAATTTAATGTTTAATAACAATAATAAATTAATTGGAATGGTACCTATAGTGAATGCGATACCACAATGTCTACACCATATTATCAGAATTCCATTGCATCCTCACACATCACAATTCTCACAACACAAGGGCTTCCTTCAACAAAGTATTACGAGGGAATGACAATAATCATATTTACTTTATAATCGAGGCAAATTATGTTTACCGATGTTCCTGCCCATTCCTTGTTTCTCATAATAGCCAATACGTTTGTAAGCACGTTCGTTGGTCGCAAATCCAAATACGCCTTACGTGTATATGCGGTGGCAGCGATCGTGCGAGATCATCCGCAAAGCGTTTCAGCAATTCATTTGTTTACTAAAACGTTATCTAAACCGCCAATATAACGCTGTGTTAACTGTTTCAAAGGTTTTATGTGTATTTTTTATGTGAGGAGTATTTTGTATTTTTTTTGTGAAGTGTATTTTTAAGCGAGCTGGCGGTTCACCTGATGTTTAGTAATAACCGCCGCCAATGCAAAAGTAGAAGATAGCACTTCCACGTCACAAGGTTCTTCTGTGAGGTCGTGGTACTTACCCGGACGGATCGATTGGTGCAACAACAGAAGCTGTTGTGAGGCCCTATCACAGTTAAATATTTATGATAAAAGTTCAATCGTTACTATTGTAATTTAGCTTCTTTTACTAACAATTTTTTTTGAAGTCCAAAGCACTAGAATAAAATTGACTTAATATTTTTCCAATACCTTATGTATACATATGTCTTGTTTGGAGAATGTTACGCATAACTATGGTCTCCAAATTTAATTGTTCCATAGACGCTGAACTCGTCCATTAAAATGTTTAAGTTATTGGAAGATCAATGCAGGGTTACATTCAAATCTATTTTTCAAATCAAATAAAATCAAACATTTTTGAAGTTACACTTCTCTTGGCGCGTTTGGAAAAATTATGAGAGTAAAATTTTTACGATGCGTGCACATACCGACCCTCAAAAAGCGTGATGCGTGGTAACCAATTTAATCTTGGCAACCATAACAACTATTTGACATTTAATAATAATTTCACTTTATTAAAGTAAGCCGTTATCAATTTAATTTATTTACGCTAAATTAGTATAACTTGTTACGTGCTTACATAAGTAGTACACACATTTTTTTTTATTTGAGAAGGTAACACAGATAAGAAGAAAACATAAATAATGTTATCATATTACTAGTTGACCTAGCCACTCGTTGCTGTGGCTCAGTTTATTATATTAATGTAAGGTATTAGAATTATTTATTAATTGGTAAATTACCATAGTTAACTATTCAACACAAATCATAATATTGTTCAATATTTTTTTTGTTATCTCGGAAATCAAATTAACAAGTGGGCCCCATTTACCTCATTCACCACTTCACGCTGGAATTTTGTGAGGCCATGGTATTTCCCTGGACAAGTCTGCTCATGCACTGTACGACATTTTATTCTCCTTTTATTGTCATAAGTAACTGTTTATCTTTTTACGACTTGGTTTATTTAACTTATAAAACCAATGAAAATGTATAGGAATACGAGGTAGATATGATATAGTGCACGGAAACTGAGGCACTCAAATGACACCAATCGGTGTAATTAGATTGCAGTTCTATATACTGCCACCTCTTTCCGTGTAATACGTTCTATATCATTTGTCACATTCACTTGATATATGAATTTATTGTAAAGTGGAACAATTTTTAAACGCCGCGCAGTATATGCGACATCTTTATTAAAACATCATTGTATAAAACTACAGCCAATTACAATAGGGTCGACAAAAAAGGTTTTATACGATTTTGTTAGGTTTTACATCTACAATTTAAGAAATAAAACAAGGTCTCTCTTATTGTTTTTATTTGGGCCGACATTTTAACTGCAATGTATTTGTCGTGATTTGGTCCTTATCCAACTATAGAAAAAAGAGACGTTTGTATATATAGGCGTGTTTGGGTACTCTGAGAATATAAACGATACCAAACCTATTTGTTGCGAGTCTGCAGTGATTAGAGCACTTCCCGAATCACCCCTGGAATTGAAAACCGTTCTTAAACAGAATGTACAGAAGATAAGGCTGACAGTTCCCGTTGAGTCGATAAATTTTATTCCTTAATCTTTTGTGTTTAATATTTGAGATAATATTCGTTGCCTATATAAATATATAATCAGTAATGGCGTTCGTTGCATTGGCTCCTTTTTTTATATATCGCTTTCGTGGTACGCACAACTTTTTTTCGCAATCTGTTGAGCGACATAGGAATATGAAACGGCCACAGGCCAATATGAAACGTTACAAACAGAATATTTTCAAGCATTTTTTTATGAGAGAAGGCGGCAAGCGGAAAGGTGTTTCACCTAATTTTATATGATTATCGTCGCTCATGTACATTTAAAGGTTTGCAACTCCTGTTGCCTTTAAAACTTTAAAAGAATGGACTCGGTTAACTCACTGAATATACGAAACGCAAGGGAATATTACCTCCACCTACAAGGCTATAGGTCTTTCCCGGGCGAGCCTGCACATCGGAAAAACAGAAACAGACGATGCTGGCGTACCGTACAACCTGCCATATTTTATTATTGATTATCCACGATGATGTTACACAATATATTTTGTATATTCTAAATTTTAATTAACGCAACCGCAACGCAAGTAATATGACCACGCAATAGTCTGTTACACGAATGGGCAGGTTCATGCGGGTAAGAACAACGATCTCACAGAAGACCGGCGTGAAGTGGAAGTGTTATACCTACTTCTGCGTTTTGTCTGGTGAGTGAGGTAGCCTGGGCTAGCTTCACTAAAAGGTGGCAACGCATCTGCAAACCCATAAGTCTTGCAAATGTCAATGGGCGGTGGTTTCTTACGTTCTGTTCTCAGGTAAAAAAAATATTCTATATTCAGGTTTACGTTGAATAGCAACTTACGACGCTGGACTCGTATTCTTTTCCGGGCTTCGAGCGCACATCATCCCGAAACTCAAACGCCCATACCTGGCGCATGAGCGTGGGGACATCAAGCGCTGTCTCGCTGTTTTCAAAACCATCGAATCCTTATTTGTTATACGCTGAAATTAAAACATACGTAAACGCTACTAAGGTTTATGGTCCATTGCTTTAACCACGGCGAAACCGCCCAGCCCAGTCTCTGATCGCTAAACTAATAATAACTTTTTCCACCAATCTATTAATAGGCTAGCTCAGTATGTATATGACTTGTACATTTAAAACGTGACAAGGAACTAAACAGGAGATGTATAGAAAATTGATAATACAAAGTAAATTTATTATAGATAGAGTTTTAGTATTTTAGAATTCATTTTGCATGCAAATTTATATACCTACTTTAAAAAAATTCTCAAACGTGTTTACATTTATTTGCGACGTTATTAAATTCATAATCTATTTCCGCGTATCATAATAGAAGTCATGACGATGTCACTTAGTATGAATAATAGTATAAAAAAAATATACTTTTGTAGATAACGGATAACGGATAACTAAAAACCAACCAAGTGCAAGTCGGACTCGGGCAGGAAGGGTTCCGTATTATTAACTCTACAAACGACAGTGACAGAGGAACAGACAGCGGAGTCTTAGTAATAGGGTCTTGTTTTTACACTTTGGGTACGGAACTCTAAAAAGTAGAAAATAATTTTCAATAAATTTAAATGAAGAATAGTGTGATTAAGAAAAAAAATTTTTTTTGGTAATTAGACTATTCTTAAATTAATTAAAAAAAAATTTCTACTTTTATAGCTGCGATAGTTTAGATAGCCGTGATAGCTCGGTGTCCGGACGCTCGCCTTTAATTCAATTTACTAGAGCAACCAGAGTTCGATCACCGGTGCCAGCACCAATGAAAATTTTAATTTTAAGTGCCGAGCTATCGCGTGCTTGTCGGTGAAGGAACCAAAAAATCGTGAGGAAACCTGTATATTTTCGACATAATAACAAAAAAGAACATTTCGAAAATACATGAAGTCCGCTAATCCTCAGTCCGCTAACCTTTTAGTTCCATTATCTACAAATGCGAGTTTCGGATATCGAATCTGGAAAATCGCTAATCCTGAAGGTCCTGATTGGAGTAATGGGACAAACTATTTAAATGATTGCATTTTCATTGACATCTTGATGAGTGTGCAAAGTGTGACCTTCGAAGATTCTTCGAAGAGACAGGCTAATAAAAGCTTGTTAATACGCGATGTCCTGCTGAAGTTGTTGAATGATGTTTATAAAAACAAATTATGTTAAGAAATTTATTGTCATTTTATAAGAGATGTAAGTAAGATGGACTTACATTAACTACGCCCCACCCCGCGACGTTAGCAACTGCATCGGGAGAATGCCACCTTCTAATAATAACTCTTTTAATATATCTTCCCAAGGGCAAGTTGCCATCGAGGCCCAACAGTGCAATATCATTCGTCATGACTTTGTCATTATACTTTTCGTGTTGTACGAATTTTATAACAGATCTCACAACGTTAACCTGCAATTAAAACGAAACTTGTAAAGTTTCTCCGACTGCACATTATGATAAAAATTTGAGAGTTTTATTAATAAAGTTTGAATATCACAAATTTAAACACCATATCAAATTATTAGAACTATCATTTTAATTTCAGACAAATTTGTTGTATTTTGTGTGTAATGAACACGAATCGGCTTCATTTTCTATATATATTTGCCAATGGTTTGCGATGTCGAAAAAATATAATACAATCTTAACTAGATATTTTTTTTAAGTTATAATATAGAGCATTATAAGTAGGTATCATATTATATTTGTTTATATTAAACTATCTTAGCGTTCACAAATTGTTAATCTTAACCTATATATCTGACTTGATATTTCATGCACATGACGTCTTCCAATTCCAACCTTAGTGAGGTCTTCGTGCCCAGCAAAGGCCTCTATGTCCCAGCTCCGCCTGCAGCCGACGAGACAGTGGGCCGCTGACAAAAGTATCCTCTGGTTCAATATCGACGAGCCGCATATCCAACTGTTCGTCACGCAGTCTATGGTCAGGAACACGGAGTGGGGATATTTCGCGATGTTCGCGAAACCACCGCCCACCACAAACGGCTCTATATCGCCGGAGCATTGCGATAAAGAGAAATACGCAACGAATAAAGTAATTCCTGCGCGATTTCCGCTACGCATATCTCAGTGTGCAGAACGTTTCAATTTGACCGGTTTACGAGGGTGCGCTTGGATGGAAATTGGAGTTTCGCGTTCGATTTAATTCAGGATTATTGCTTACTGCTAATTTATTGATCGAAACTATTAATGAGTTTGCGATAAGTTTCTTAGACTGTAGTCCTTCTGTTTCTTTTTCAATAACAGTGGATTATAGTTTGGTATATAGTCTGTACTTGATCAAGGTGAGTTTAAGACCCGGTTCCGGACTATGGTTTATTTAAGTTCAGATAGCTAGCGAGCAGTAGCTTCCACAAGTTAAGTGATTACCGCCGCGCATGGATGTCTACGAAATCTGTGGGTTTTAAGACGGTCTCTAAAAGTGTGAGCCCTGGTTACCTGAGTAATCTTCAAGCCGATCTTCTGTCAGGCCTTAGTAATTCCCCGGATGAAACTGTTCATTCGTACGACAACAGAAACTATTGATTCGATTTATTGCTATTTTTAATTACGTTTTTATCGTGTGCTCGACGGTGAAGGAAAACTTGGTTAGGAAACCTGCATAACTCTATATGTACTGTGAGCATAAAATCGAATCCAAGAATATGACTAGGAAAACATATTATCACCGTTTTTGCACCTACATATTTACAATAGCGTTAATTAGGGGTTATCATGCCCTTTATAAGGCCAATTACCGGACCTATCCTTATCAGTTCATATCCGGATCAATCATCAGATATCAACCGGTACACTTCTCCATCCATTATTATTAATCACGAACACTTCTTAACGGAACAAGGCTAGCGGGTGTGAAACATGAGCCAGTTTACTGTGTCCAGAACTTACCAGCAAAGAGGGCAGCTTGAACCGAAGACATGGATCCAGGAGAAGAAGGTGCACATCAGAGAGTGTTCACTGATTCATAATCAGTATGTCCCTGAGAAATCGGGCTCTCTCTGGTGTTCAAGTCCAACAAGTGTTGGCGGTTCGACAGTCAGAAGAAGAGTAAAGGCGGCTAGCCTGACTACAAATATACTGGCTACAGTCCGACTACGTTTCGCAAGAGAATCCGTGAATTGAACGGAAAAGCAGTAGAGTTCTGTTCTCAGATGAAAGCAGAGTATGGCTCTATTGCAGTAATTGACAAAAACCAGTCTACAGAAGACCTGGAGAGCGATCCCTACATACCTACTCCCGTAGGTATTAGCTTAGGCATTTCGGACTAGACTAGACCCCAAGATATTCCACCCAGAGGTAGGATCACGGTCACGGGAGTCTCCCGCCCCGTCGTCGTGGATCTGGTCGGTCTGTGGCTCGCTGCTTACCACGTTTTGACCGCGGAGGGTAGGGAGAGTGGCGAAGCGGAATTCCAATAGTCCTCTACCTTGGCGACTCTACTTCGGTTGCAGAAGATAGGGAGGAAGAGTATCGAGCGCTGTTCGACGTTACGTCAAGGTCAGCACAGTGCTGGTTTCTCTTGACTTCACCATGGGGCACCAATCCATGGCTACTAGGCTCCTCCGCCACGACAGGCGGGAACATAGTTAGAGAGGCTGTTCGGGAGTATCTACAGGAGGTCGGAATAGATTGCATGGAGTGACCAGCACTTAGCCTGAACTTAAATCCTATCGAGCATTGGGGATGAGCTTAAAAGGGAAATTCGGGCTGGAACTCCTGCGTTAGCTACATGATCAGAGTCTCAAGCCGCACTCATTGAAAATCTTATCCGGTCTATTATGAACCGATTAGAGTTGTAAAGTTCATAGTCTTTGTTCGTTAAAATTTTTAAAAGCTTATCAATCATGAAAAGTCATAGCTTTGCAGTGACATAACTCTGTTTTTCCTACAATTATAAACAAGTTTTCTTAAACAATTGGAAAAGTTCTCTTATTATAACTCTAAAATGCCTGACTGTTTAAGGAAATTCATAATTTAAAGATCCCAGACCGCATTGTTGTTTTGCAAGAGGTTGCGAATACTAAATAAAGTATTCAAATTTTTTAAGCTTCACCGCTTATTTTTGGAGAAAACTTCTTGCATTAAATAAAAATAGTCGAATAAAATGTACTGAATCTTTAAGATAGCGTAAGTCACGTTCTATTTTCTTTCCCTCAGGAAAGTTTTGTTGAATTTTTTCTGCTTATTTATCATAAAGTTGTTATGAGGTTTATTTATTATAGTATTCTATTTAAAAATCAGTCCAATTCACAAAAGAGCGATATAATATTTACATGTAACGAAAATTTTCTGGATTTTAAGTGCCTTTCACAAGGGTTTGCACACGTGGTAACCAGCAGGAACTCCGAAAGATAGAGTTTCGAAAATACAACATTAATTAATTTAGACTACTGTATCCTTTTGCCACAGGAACAGGTACTAAGACATTTAAAGGAAAATAACTCGTATAGCAGAGCAGAGGTGAAGAAACGCATAATCCGCGCATTGGGGAACTTTAGAAATCCATGAAATAGTTTTTTTTGTGATAGTATTTATTAGGAATGTTAGAAGTTTTATTAAGAAATTTCACATCAATTTCTTGGGTGTATTTTGTATTTGGATACGGTAACGCCCGTTGTTAGATGTTTCATTTGTGTATAAAAAGGAATTAATATTCCGTGTTCTTTATGTGAGAAAGTGGGAAGCGAGCAAGTGATAACCGTCGCTCATTGAAATCTGCAAACTGCATGGGATTGCAGATGTTTTTTTACCTTTTTAAAAAGTGTCTCTCACTCACCAGACGCAGAAGTTTAATACTTCCATTTTACTCCGTTCTTCCGTAAGGCTTTAGGCTGTGCAAAGTATCCCGGACGAGCCTGTCGTCTTGCAACAGCAAGTTAAAAAAAATACGTCAAATTATTTTCGCTCTATCCCAGCGCCATTACAAGATAATTTTTCACAAAAAAAACCGACTTCAAACCGAAATCAAAAAACATTATTGATACTTATATTATTTGAAGATTGCCCTCGATTTCTCTGGGATGGCATCATCAGATCTGGGTTTCCTTATCATGGTACTACACTAGGGATATCTCCTTTCCAACAAAAAAAATAATCATCGGTTCATAAACGATGAAGTTATCCGCGAACACACATAAAGAAATAAAAATATATACGGTCGAATTGAGAAACCTCCTCCTTTTTGAAATCGGTAAAAAAGGGACGATCCCGGAAAAAAGATTCTTCCATTCACACGTTAGGTATATGCAAATTATGATTATCAAGCCACAGTACTATTAGTATGATATAACATAATATAAACTATCTTAGCGTTCATAACTTATTCGTCTTAACGTATATGTCTGATTTGATATTCCATGTACATGACGTTTTCCAATTCCAACCTTTGTGAGGTCTTCGTGCCCAGCAAAGGCCTCTATGTCCCAGCTCCGCCTGCAGGCGACGAGACAGTGGGCCGCTGACAAAAGTATCCTCTGGTTCAATATCGACGAGCCGCATATCCAACTGCTCGTCACGCAGTCTATGGTCAGGAACACGGAGTGGGGATATTTCGCGATGTTCGCAAAATCACTGCCAACCACAAATATCACCGGAGCATTGCGATAAAGAAAAATACGCAATGAATAACGTTTAGGCATACGCAAATTATGATTATCAAGCCACGTCCGAGAATAATGTAAGTTTCGACCTGACACCTAACGTTATATCGTAGAAAATTTCGAAATACAACTGTAATAGCTTCCTTTTTGTCTAGAGATGTGGGGGCTGTCATGCGTATGTTTCTTTACTGACAGCACCTTTTACGTGCCTCATATAATGCCTTGGAGACGCGACGCTGTTTTTGTGCGTATGAGGAAAAAACAAATAAAAACTACTGTTAGGTTTTTTGTATTTTTCTTACATTCAAAAACCAATTTAATACATGAGCGGGGGATTGTAAAGCCGACCCCGGCAAAGTTGCCTGATAAAGTTGCTAATTACCAATTATTTGACAGGTTGGAACACTAGTTTGCAGCATTTAATTTTATTTTAAATTTTAAACTCGGTATTGGAATAAAAGATCGTAAAAGAACCTAAAATAACCACTACGCCTAGAATATAATTCCTAATTATTTGTTGTATATACATATCTAGATGGGAAAGTTTTTTAAATTTTGAATTCGACTGTTGATAATAAAAGAATATGTTTCTTAGTTAGATTGAATGTTGTCAATATTGGATATAATAAAATATTGTTGGTTGGATGATATTAGATATATAAAGGTTATAAAAAGTAATTTGTTATACAAAAATATTAATTGTCTTGGGGATATTATTAATAAACACTGTCTTTTGTGTCTCCCAAAAACAATTAATGGACAGGTGTTTTTATTTACAGTTTTTTTTTTAATTTAGGGTATAAAGAAATATACTAACAATAATATATAAATGTTATAAGAAATTAACTGTATAGAATTTACATCAGAGGAATATGGAGCGTTAAGACAAGGTTCTCAGTCATCGAGATAAGTCCCTATGTAATAATTGAAAGTCAAGTCGAGGAAGGCTTTCTCAGATTTCTCTGGACGTACAGATAACGTTTTAAGGCCTATTACACTCAAAACCGTAAAACTTAAATATATAATTTAGCTTACGGTCATATTGGTAAAGGTAGCGATTTCATCTGGTATTTAAAATGTAAATAGTAATTCTTTATTCGCATAAATGTCCAGCGTTCCACGACAGCGTGATATATCAGACATTTCCTACCTTTTAGGCCGGCGGACTTTTCGAACCGTTACGATCTGGGAACCTTCAAGAAGAGAGACTCTTTTCTGGCCTACGCATTTACAAGCCCTCCGGTGTTCCAGAAGTTTAAATAAATATGTTTTGCATGTTTTACTATAATCAAATTGGTAGATATTAGAGAGATTATATAAGGCTTACTTGAATCCCTCTGGCCAATCTCATAACTAGGTTTATATACTAACTTTGATGCAAACTTATGAAAAGCGCATTCCCGGTCAATGAAATTATAAGCGGTTCCTACTAAAACCTGTTGAAAATCTAGCACCACTTTTCAAAATGATTTCGCAATACGTACTTTCTCGATGCTCCGTACTATTTCGATAAGACGACTTTACTCTGTCGAGACGTATTTTTTCTTCGCGTTTATTTCGAAACCTTGTTTAGACCTGATCGCCAATTCAATATTTTCGGTAGCATTTGCGAAACAACAACAAGTTGTTAGCACTTAGTTGTACTTCTATTATTACAGAAGAAACGATATTATGTTTGTAAATTTATTAGGAATATAATGAAATAAATCTATCAATCACCACTTTATTTTAATATGTTATTTTATAACATCGACGGACAATTGGAACGAATGCTGAAAAACGCTTTTTAGAATGTCCACTTGTCACGTACCTTTGCTTCGGAATTAATTACACTTCAGCAAGTGTAGGGAGGCCTGAATTTTTGTTGCGATGTCGTTCCACACAAAGAATACGGCTTGACATGACGCACGTGATGATGTCATCGTTTCTAGGTCACGTGAAGATACGCAACTAGTCGTTATTTTTATATAATCCTAATATATTTCATGTAAGCTCTCGCAAATGTGCGTCTTTCGTAATTAGTGCTTGAGAAGGTTCACTCACGTTAAGAAAGGATCATTACTTGGATTATTTTCAAACAATAAATTATTTAATTTGTTTAGTATTTGGTAAAAGTAGCAATAAAAATAAAATCTTGAACGTCCATCCTTTTCTTATTAACAGGTCTTTAGTTATGAAATTGCCGTTCCTCAGTAGGTACTGGCCATTTAAAACAAAAAAAAAATTCTGATTGATTGTGAATTTCTAATTCAAATGCTTTGTATTTTCATTACATTTCAACATTTTTCATCATAATAGATGCTTTAAAAATTGAAAAAGTAGATGAGTTCATAACCATATCGGTAGGGTAGAACATATTGTGTGTGACTTTGCAACTTATGGAACGTAAAATGTCCATTCGTTTGAGTCAAAGTCTGCATTTTGCTATTTAAATTGCCACTTTAAAAGGAAAATTTGCATAGAAACGAGTTTGCACTAGGAATGAGAGGTTTTTCAAACTTTTTAATGTGAGAGATAATTTCTTTGAAACCCGAACTTGACTTCTCTTTATTCATTTACATATTCCTTGCATGCCTATTATAATAATTTTTGATCAAGAACTATAAACTATAATAGTTTAAACAACTAAAAAAACACGCTTTTATCAAAAAATCTCTTATTAAATATCTTAATGTTTCTATTTCGAAATGCAGAATTAGTGTAGAAATTTAGTACAACCTCACGATTTGACATAAAGTTTCTCGTCTCTCTATCCTTTATTGAAATTTACTTTTACAAAAAATAGTAACTAAAGATTCAGAACTTTAATTAATTAATATTATTATTGATAATTTAGTAGAACTGGAATTGTTAGGGCTGCTAGCCCTAGACTTGTTCTCAAATGGATCCAACTATTAAAGGATTTTAATTGTATTATTCCGATTACGGGTAATACCGGCCTCAGATGAGCCCGGTATTATTTTTCGGTATTATAAGTTCGTACCTTAAAAAGCACCACAATCTACCGGCCTTAACTGGTCAGTAGATGATAATGCTTTCTTAAATTCGTAAAGAATAAAAATGAAAATGAAATGAATTGGCGTGTGTTTAATCGGTATAAAGTTTTTGTTATAAAATCCTTATGAAATTTGCACTGAAATTTCGTCCAAAACTTTCCTCATTATAAGTTTAGCTCGGCGGGTTGGTCAGTTTTGTAACTTTTGAAACTTCAAAAACAATTTTGTTCGTTACAGCTGGTAACTGTGTATAGGACAGTGTTTGAGTTTAATCACCACCTCAACTTTGTTTTAGAAAGTTGGAATGTGATAAGGGCAAACAAGCAAACTGAATAAACGTCTTTTCCTTTACTGCACCTATCATAATCGTCACTATTTCTGACGTGTAGTTCCTTCATTAATGTAATTATTTACAAGAATGTTTATCTGTTTTCTAGTATCCATAGTACCATCGTTGCATAGTTTGGGACAAGAGAAAGTTGTGTAAAAATGTGTCCGAAATATTTATTTATGATGTATTTAAATAAATAATAATTTCAAAACAACTAAACAAATTATTTGAAGATATGTTAAGTCCCTTAATCTGCAACTTTCTTACAACTCACAGTAATTTTTATCTACATAGCATTTGAATTACGAGGACCTCCACTTATAACTGCAAGCTAATACGCAATAATAAAAATAAACGAAAATCTGGACAAAGATGGGATTGGTCTTCAAGTCACAGTTTCGGTTAATTCATCGAAATGACAAGCGATTCTTGTTGGTGGTTCGATATTATTGGCAGAGATTGATGATACTGAGATACTTCCTATATGTTTCAATAACATTGTAATGCCATTTATATACATTAACGTGGTAAACAATCTAGGTCTGTTAATCGACAATACCTCAAACTGGAGAGTACAAGCTACTGAAATAAGTCGTAAAGTTACTACCACTTTACGATCTTTATATCGCTTAAAAATTTCCGTCCGTTCAAGGAAAAAATTTGGCTTGTCCAAACGCTGATATTACCGATTATCGATTATGCAGATGTATGCTACCCGGACTAGTCCTAAATTTTTTTTAAAAAATTGGATCGCCTTCATAATAAAATCGGTTTCCGAAATTATGACCATATCCCAGTATCGCTTTCAGCTCTATTGGCTCACAATTCGGCAAAGGCGGCATTCCAGAATTCTACTCGTGCTTTTTACCGACTCAAATGACAGGGTTTATTTATCACTTTTCATCTCATGATAGGATACTTCGTTCAACTTATAACAATAAACTGTCCAACCCAGCGCACTTCACCGGGAATTCCTTACCTAATAACATAAGAAATTTAATAAATAAGGCTTCTTTCGAAAGACTTATTCGTGAACGCTTGCCGAAGACAACCATTAATATTTTCATTAATTTTTTAAGCCCTATAAAGGTCTAAGCCATTATTACATGTGTCTCTTTTTATATATATCTTTATACATATAATTCTTCTGTAGGTGTGTATGTCACAGAAGTTCTCCTAAACGGCTGGACCGATTTTAATGAAATTTTTGTGGACTGGACGATTCGAGAATGGTTTAGATTCACTATTTTTTTTAGTTGTTGTCGTACTTAAGTCAGGATAACGTTTGTCGGTCCGCTAGTAATTATATAATACAAACATATATTTTTATCCATACTTTAGAATAACCAAAAATTGTTGTGTAAGTTAGTTTTGATGTTCTTTAGATTTATATGCATATGTGTTATTTATAATTTTATGAAATTTATAATAGTTTTTATAATTTTATCAATTTTATCTTATTCTATAATTTTTGCATCCCTTGTACTTCTGATGTGTACGCGCTCACTGTGTGGGTCAGTAATAAACGATTGCTCTTACGCAACGGTTGTTTCTTTCCAAGTCTATACATATCATTGGCGACGAGGTCGGATTACCCGCAAGTAAAAAAAAAATGGCGTACTTAGGAAACTTGCCTATTTTTGACCATAAGTCCTGCGAGTGGTCAATGTTAAAGCCAGACTGTCACAATTTTTAAAAATAAACAAAATAGAAGAAGGAAACAAGAGTGGAATACTGCTTACACAACTTAGCGAGGAGTCGTTTCGTTTAGTACGAAACTTGGCGTACCCGCAGGAGCTGGAGTTGTTGAGCTATGCGAGCCTCGTACAATTACTCGACAGCCATTTCAAGCCGAAGCAATGCTCGTTTGTGGACAAGGCGAATTTTTATGGAGCGAACAGAGGGTCAGGCGAATCATTGGGAGAATGGGCGGCGCGACTAAGAGGACTCGCAAGCTATTGCGATTTCGGCACCGCTCTGGAAACGAACTTAAGGGATCGTTTCGTTCTCGGCCTGGGCCCAGGTCCAGAACGCGACAAGTTGTTCGAGCAGAATCCGTCTACACTTACGCTGACACGTGCTATCGAGCTGGCTGAACAGGCAGCTTGCGCCAAACAGGCGATGGGAATGATGTGCAACAGTGAAGCTATCCCTTTTAAGGAGGAGCCGGTATATCGAGTGCGAGATCAACGTCAACCCGGTCGGGTCAGTGGTGCTCGGCGGGCAGACGGCGGGTATTCTGCCTCATCGCGCTGCGCTGTTTGTGGGATGCAAAATCACCAAAGTGAGAAGTGTCGTTACAAAAGCTACAAATGTCAAAAGTGTGGAAAGAAGGGTCATTTAAAGAAAGTGTGCAACAAACCTAAGAACCAATGTTTATATCTTGTCAATTCGCACACCGAATCTGATCAAAAGGAGGAATCAGATTGTGGGGAATGCCAAAATTTTAATTTAAGGTATGTGACCGATAGACCAATTCAAATTAATTTAAAAATAGGCAGCAAAAGTATGTCAATGGAGCTTGATTCAGGTTCTAGTAAATGTGTCATATCAGATGAAATGTATAAACACTTCTTCTCTAAGTATCCGCCTCAACGCAGTTGTATAAAAATGTGTTTGTACGATGGACATAAAATAACGCCTATGGGATACTTTACTGTGGAAGCTAGCTATAATAATATTAAAAAGCTAATTAAAATGTTTGTTGTTAAAAATGGAGGCCCACCAATATTGGGTAGGGATTTTATGTGTGCATTCAACTTAATCATTACGACTAAAAATAATTTTATAAGTAGTGATAGTTCAGAATTACAGGAATTGTTAAATAAATATTCAAATTTATGGCGAGATGAATTGGGGTCGTTTAATAAATTTAAAGTCAGCTTGCAATTAAAAGATAACTGTGTTCCAAAATTTTTTAAGCCACGTACAGTACCTTTTGCCCTCAGAGATAAAGTCGAACAAGAAATAAACCGATTAGTTAGATTAGGGATCCTTCTACCGGTCAACTATTCTAAATATGCCACCCCTATAGTGCCCGTATTAAAAGAGAACGGTCAAGTTAAAATTGCTGGTGATTATTCTGTCACATTAAATAGGGACCTCACAATTGAAAAATATCCACTGCCGCGAATCGAGGAGGTGTTTGCTAAAATTGGAGGGGGCGAGCGATGTAGCAAAATTGACTTGAAAAACGCATATAATCAATTTCTTTTAGATGAACAATCACAAGAGCTTACAACAATTAACACACATAAAGGCCTTTTTAAATATACTAGGTTAGTTTACGGTTTAGCTAACGCGCCAGCTATATTCCAAAAGAGCATGGAAACCCTTCTTTCAGGGATAGATGGAGTAAGCATATGGCTCGATGATATCTGTATCACAGGCCCCGACAATAATTCGCACTTCAATAGGTTGAGTGAAGTTTTAGGTAGGCTGGATGAGGCAGGATTGCGCCTTCAAAGGGACAAGTGTGAGTTTTTTAAAGAAAGTGTGAAATATTTGGGTTATGTTATTAGTAAGTCGGGCCTAAGAACGTGTCTTGATAAAGTTAAAGCGATCATTAGAGCAGCGGACCCCACTAACATAACTGAAGTTAAAAGATTTTTAGGAGTAGTTAATTATTACAGAAATTTTATTCCAAACGCGTCGTCGTTATTGAGTCCCTTACACGAATCACTACGTAAAAATGCAACATGGGAATGGGGCGAGCGACAGCGGCACAGTATTGCAATGGTGCGACGCGAACTGGCGTCAGAACGAGTACTAGCTCATTTCGAACTCGGGGCGCAGCTAGTACTGGCCGTAGACGCTGGGCCAACAGGCCTGGGAGCCGTGCTCTCGCAGCGAGCGCACGGCGGCTCCGAACGTCCTCTGGCGTATGCATCTCGTTCGCTAACGATTAGCGAACGAAATTATAGCCAAATTCAAAAAGAAGCGACGGCTATTATCTTTGGAGTGAAACATTTCCATCAGTATTTATACGGGTGTGAAAATCCATTTATTTTAAAAACCGATCATAGGCCTCTAGTGTCTATTTTTAACAATAAAGTAGGCATTCCGGTAACAACAGCGTTAAGACTACAGAAATATGCTATTATATTGTCCGCTTATAACTATGTAGTGCAGTACGTGTCCAGCGAAAACAACGTAGTCGCCGATTATTTTTCACGCGCGCCGTTAGAATGTAGTAATACCGAGTCGTCGGACGATGTAAACAACGATACTATAGATAGTTATTATGCGGTTAGGTTTCTCGATGAGTCATCGCCGGCGATCTCTGTAAGCGACATTGTACAGGTGACTGAACGAGACAAAACACTTAACACTGTTATTAAGTATATGAAATACGGTTGGCCGCGTAAACTAATTTGTAAATCAATATTGCCATACTTTTATTGTAAGACCGATCTACAATTAGAAAATGGTTGCTTATTTAGGGGGCACAGAAAAGTTATCCCATCAGCCTTGAAAGGCAAAATGTTACGTGAACTGCATGATTCACATTTAGGCATTATAAAAACCAAAAGTAATGCTAGAAGTAGAATGTGGTGGCCTAATATCGACCGTGACATCGAACGGTGGATAGGATCGTGTACGACGTGCGCAAGCGTGCGGACGGCGCCGCCACGGGACCCCCCCCGCACACTGGCCCGCCGCCGCTGGCCCGTGGCAGCGCGTACATATCGACTATATGACTGCAAAAGGTGTACCTAGTTATTGTAGATTCTTTTAGCAAATGGTTAGATTGTCTGTACATGCAAAGCGGAACTTCGACACAAGCCTTAATCGGTAAATTAAAATACATTTTTTCTAATTTTGGAATACCGAACACGTTAGTGTCAGACAATGATGTAAAAATTAACTCTTTAGAATTTAAGACATTCTGTAGTTCTAATGGAATTAAATTTATAACATCACCCATATATCATCCGCCCAGTAACGGTCAAGCTGAGAACTCTGTAAGAACATGTAAAAAAAATGTTAAAATGTATAATTAAAGATAATTTACCGTACCAACAAATGCATGAAATATTGTTAGGGTATCTGTTTAATTATAGGAATACTGTGCATTGTACCACTGGTGAAACGCCGGCTAAATTGATGTTCGGCAGAAATTTACGATGTCGTCTTGACTTAGTTTTACCTATATTAACGAATCGCAGTTATTTACCGACGCCCACGAAAAGATATTTTAACATTGGTGATACTGTTTGGACCCGATGGTACACTGCACGCAAGGAAACTTGGCAGTTGGGTAGTATACGTAATAAAATAGGGAGCAAAATGTACCAAATTTGGATCCATAGCTTAGGTGTGTTTTGTATAAGGCATATTGATCAAATTTTAAAATATACGGGCCAAGATGTCAGCTGTAATGACAGCGTATCTCACAAAACACACACAAGTACATATTGTGCTCCACCCAACACCACACAAATTTCTCCACCACAAAATACCGAAACCGCTGTTCTTACAACAAACACTCAACAAAATGTCGAACCAACAACAGACCTGCAGCCTACACTTTGCCCAAATGTTGAAAATAGTGTGGATAGCGGCAGTGGGGAGGAACTAGTTCACAGCGAGGGCGCAGAGTGTAGTCGCGAAAAGACAGGCGTGTCCGCGCCGCTAAGAGTGAGTGACAACACGGGAAGCAGCGAATTAGGTACTGCTAGGGCATCCTCACTTATTAGTACACGACAGTTGCGGCCAAGGAAAAAAATAGATTATAAGAAGTTTTTAAGGTGTTTATGATGTATATTAGTTTTAAGATAATTATTGTTTAAATGATTGTCAATTCGAAGTAATTATTTTTTTTTATTTTTTTTATCAGGTTTCAAAAATTAAGTGTGGAGTGATGTGTACGCGCTCACTGTGTGGGTCAGTAATAAACGAGTGCTCTACTTAGGAAACTTGCCTATTTTTGACCATAAGTCCTGCGAGTGGTCAATGTTTAAAGCCAGACTGTCACAATTTTTAAAAATAAACAAAATAGAAGAAGGAAACAAGAGTGGAATACTGCTTACACAACTTAGCGAGGAGTCGTTTCGTTTAGTACGAAACTTGGCGTACCCGCAGGAGCTGGAGTTGTTGAGCTATGCGAGCCTCGTACAATTACTCGACAGCCATTTCAAGCCGAAGCAATGCTCGTTTGTGGACAAGGCGAATTTTTATGGAGCGAACAGAGGGTCAGGCGAATCATTGGGAGAATGGGCGGCGCGAAAGAGGACTCGCAAGCTATTGCGATTTCGGCACCGCTCTGGAAACGAACTTAAGGGATCGTTTCGTTCTCGGCCTGGGCCCAGGTCCAGAACGCGACAAGTTGTTCGAGCAGAATCCGTCTACACTTACGCTGACACGTGCTATCGAGCTGGCTGAACAGGCAGCTTGCGCCAAACAGGCGATGGGAATGATGTGCAACAGTGAAGCTATCCCTTTTAAGGAGGAGCCGGTATATCGAGTGCGAGATCAACGTCAACCCGGTCGGGTCAGTGGTGCTCGGCGGGCAGACGGCGGGTATTCTGCCTCATCGCGCTGCGCTGTTTGTGGGATGCAAAATCACCAAAGTGAGAAGTGTCGTTACAAAAGCTACAAATGTCAAAAGTGTGGAAAGAAGGGTCATTTAAAGAAAGTGTGCATCAAACCTAAGAACCAATGTTTATATCTTGTCAATTCGCACACCGAATCTGATCAAAAGGAGGAATCAGATTGTGGGAAATGCCAAAATTTTAATTTAAGGTATGTGACCGATAGACCAATTCAAATTAATTTAAAAATAGGCAGCAAAAGTATGTCAATGGAGCTTGATTCAGGTTCTAGTAAATGTGTCATATCAGATGAAATGTATAAACACTTCTTCTCTAAGTATCCGCCTCAACGCAGTTGTATAAAAATGTGTTTGTACGATGGACATAAAATAACGCCTATGGGATACTTTACTGTGGAAGCTAGCTATAATAATATTAAAAAGCTAATTAAAATGTTTGTTGTTAAAAATGGAGGCCCACCAATATTGGGTAGGGATTTTATGTGTGCATTCAACTTAATCATTACGACTAAAAATAATTTTATAAGTAGTGATAGTTCAGAATTACAGGAATTGTTAAATAAATATTCAAATTTATGGCGAGATGAATTGGGGTCGTTTAATAAATTTAAAGTCAGCTTGCAATTAAAAGATAACTGTGTTCCAAAATTTTTTAAGCCACGTACAGTACCTTTTGCCCTCAGAGATAAAGTCGAACAAGAAATAAACCGATTAGTTAGATTAGGGATCCTTCTACCGGTCAACTATTCTAAATATGCCACCCCTATAGTGCCCGTATTAAAAGAGAACGGTCAAGTTAAAATTGCTGGTGATTATTCTGTCACATTAAATAGGGACCTCACAATTGAAAAATATCCACTGCCGCGAATCGAGGAGGTGTTTGCTAAAATTGGAGGGGGCGAGCGATATAGCAAAATTGACTTGAAAAACGCATATAATCAATTTCTTTTAGATGAACAATCACAAGAGCTTACAACAATTAACACACATAAAGGCCTTTTTAAATATACTAGGTTAGTTTACGGTTTAGCTAACGCGCCAGCTATATTCCAAAAGAGCATGGAAACCCTTCTTTCAGGGATAGATGGAGTAAGCATATGGCTCGATGATATCTGTATCACAGGCCCCGACAATAATTCGCACTTCAATAGGTTGAGTGAAGTTTTAGGTAGGCTGGATGAGGCAGGATTGCGCCTTCAAAGGGACAAGTGTGAGTTTTTTAAGAAAGTGTGAAATATTTGGGTTATGTTATTAGTAAGTCGGGCCTAAGAACGTGTCTTGATAAAGTTAAAGCGATCATTAGAGCAGCGGACCCCACTAACATAACTGAAGTTAAAAGATTTTTAGGAGTAGTTAATTATTACAGAAATTTTATTCCAAACGCGTCGTCGTTATTGAGTCCCTTACACGAATCACTACGTAAAAATGCAACATGGGAATGGGGCGAGCGACAGCGGCACAGTATTGCAATGGTGCGACGCGAACTGGCGTCAGAACGAGTACTAGCTCATTTCGAACTCGGGGCGCAGCTAGTACTGGCCGTAGACGCTGGGCCAACAGGCCTGGGAGCCGTGCTCTCGCAGCGAGCGCACGGCGGCTCCGAACGTCCTCTGGCGTATGCATCTCGTTCGCTAACGATTAGCGAACGAAATTATAGCCAAATTCAAAAAGAAGCGACGGCTATTATCTTTGGAGTGAAACATTTCCATCAGTATTTATACGGGTGTGAAAATCCATTTATTTTAAAAACCGATCATAGGCCTCTAGTGTCTATTTTTAACAATAAAGTAGGCATTCCGGTAACAACAGCGTTAAGACTACAGAAATATGCTATTATATTGTCCGCTTATAACTATGTAGTGCAGTACGTGTCCAGCGAAAACAACGTAGTCGCCGATTATTTTTCACGCGCGCCGTTAGAATGTAGTAATACCGAGTCGTCGGACGATGTAAACAACGATACTATAGATAGTTATTATGCGGTTAGGTTTCTCGATGAGTCATCGCCGGCGATCTCTGTAAGCGACATTGTACAGGTGACTGAACGAGACAAAACACTTAACACTGTTATTAAGTATATGAAATACGGTTGGCCGCGTAAACTAATTTGTAAATCAATATTGCCATACTTTTATTGTAAGACCGATCTACAATTAGAAAATGGTTGCTTATTTAGGGGGCACAGAAAAGTTATCCCATCAGCCTTGAAAGAGAAAATGTTACGTGAACTGCATGATTCACATTTAGGCATTATAAAAACCAAAAGTAATGCTAGAAGTAGAATGTGGTGGCCTAATATCGACCGTGACATCGAACGGTGGATAGGATCGTGTACGACGTGCGCAAGCGTGCGGACGGCGCCGCCACGGGACCCCCCCGCACCCTGGCCCGCCGCCGCTGGCCCGTGGCAGCGCGTACATATCGACTATATGACTGTAGGGCAAAAGGTGTACCTAGTTATTGTAGATTCTTTTAGCAAATGGTTAGATTGTCTGTACATGCAAAGCGGAACTTCGACACAAGCCTTAATCGGTAAATTAAAATACATTTTTTCTAATTTTGGAATACCGAACACGTTAGTGTCAGACAATGATGTAAAAATTAACTCTTTAGAATTTAAGACATTCTGTAGTTCTAATGGAATTAAATTTATAACATCACCCATATATCATCCGCCCAGTAACGGTCAAGCTGAGAACTCTGTAAGAACATGTAAAAAAATGTTAAAATGTGTAATTAAAGATAATTTACCGTACCAACAAATGCATGAAATATTGTTAGGGTATCTGTTTAATTATAGGAATACTGTGCATTGTACCACTGGTGAAACGCCGGCTAAATTGATGTTCGGCAGAAATTTACGATGTCGTCTTGACTTAGTTTTACCTATATTAACGAATCGCAGTTATTTACCGACGCCCACGAAAAGATATTTTAACATTGGTGATACTGTTTGGACCCGATGGTACACTGCACGCAAGGAAACTTGGCAGTTGGGTAGTATACGTAATAAAATAGGGAGCAAAATGTACCAAATTTGGATCCATAGCTTAGGTGTGTTTTGTATAAGGCATATTGATCAAATTTTAAAATATACGGGCCAAGATGTCAGCTGTAATGACAGCGTATCTCACAAAAAACACACACAAGTACATATTGTGCTCCACCCAACACCACACAAATTTCTCCACCACAAAATACCGAAACCGCTGTTGTTCAAGCAAACACTCAACAAAATGTCGAACCAACAACAGACCTGCAGCCTACACTTTGCCCAAATGTTGAAAATAGTGTGGATAGCGGCAGTGGGGAGGAACTAGTTCACAGCGAGGGGCGCAGAGTGTAGTCGCGAAAAGACAGGCGTGTCCGCGCCGCTAAGAGTGAGTGACAACACGGGAAGCAGCGAATTAGGTACTGCTAGGGCATCCTCACTTATTAGTACACGACAGTTGCGGCCAAGGAAAAAAATAGATTATAAGAAGTATTTTTAAGGTGTTTATGATGTATATTAGTTTTAAGATAATTATTGTTTAAATGATTGTCAATTAGAAGTAATTATTTTTTTTTTATCAGGTTTCAAAAATTAAGTGTGGAGGAGTGATGTGTACGCGCTCACTGTGTGGGTCAGTAATAAACGAGTGCTCTTACGCAACGGTTGTTTCTTTCCAAGTCTATACATATCAACTTCACACTACATCCTGGGTTGATTGGTAGAGAATGCGTAGGCCTTTTGTTACCATTAATTATAAGCATTAGCAGTAGCCTGCCTGGCGTCATCTTTCCTTGCGAATAAACATCCAAAACCGGAACAAATATTTGTGTACTATATTAATACTTGTCCCGTGTGGAAATCGAACCCACGACCTCAGCAATAATTACACATCATTCATACGGACTGTGCAAATAATGCTGGAACGATGTTTCCGTTTGAAGATTTATCGCTACATAAACTCTTCATCATGCACAGAGCCCCCCAAATGCTTGGGTTATCTATATGGCTAGGAAATAGGAATAACTGATAGGAGTACGGCCAAGAATTCTTGAAAAATTCTTTAAAATTTCCATATGTTTAAATTTAAAACCTGTAAGAATGAAGCAATAATGAAATTACAAAAAAAATATTTTAAAGGGAAAGGATTATAAATTATGAAAACGTCCTTTAATTCAAATACAACATCAAATCACATTATATTTTCTATAATAATAATACATAATAGATTTCTCTTTATAATATAAGATTTACTGCCTTAATGGCTATTCTAAATGCTTTTAACTTACATAACGCTCACAAAATAAATATATTAATTGTTGGGTTTATAAATGTAATATTCTTCGGTATAGCAATGAACAAAATATTAGTGTTCTCTAATATTAGTGATAATAATATGTCATTTTATGAAAATAGTTTCCGCTCGTAGGTTTGTATTCCTAACGCGTCTATAAAAAGATTTAATCCATACATTTTTTCCATTTTGTTACAATATTTTATTATGAGCACATTAATGTAAGATTTTTCAAATGAACTTAATCTAGCTGGGTAAATTAAGTTCGTTTGAGATTTATCATTTATATAGCAACACAGATTTATATATTACTATAGGAAAAAATAACTTGACATTTTTTATACTAGCAACAAATTTTTGTACTTAAAATTAAAATCAAGGCATGAACTTATAAAATAACATATTTAAAAACCTTCCCCTTCATTAGGTGCATGAATATTATCGTGTAAAATACTTCTTTTATAAATTCATGAATATAATACAAATCTTTCGAGCAATACGCTTTAATATAAAATTAAAAACATTAACAAAATCTACGCATAATTCTTTTTCAAATTCTTAGTATTCTATAATACATAACTTAGGCGAATATTGGTTCTTTAATTTCCGGCGTTTGTCATGTGATATGTTTTCTGAATGAAAATTACCATTATTTAATCGAAGAATATGAACAAAATCGTGGTGGCAACTTTACTTTTATTAGTGGCAAATGTGAGTGTGATAGTTGCAAGAATATACGGGATTGTAAAATTAAGTGCAATATTTAAGTGGCATATTTATATAATTGTAATATGAATATAACATTGACTAGATTTGATTGGAATGTAAAAATAAAGATAAGAAATTGAAGTTATCCGTAATTTTAAAAATAAACATATTATTGAGTAAAAGAAAAAAATAAAAAAATATATGGAAAACATAGTACCTATGTGTTTTTATTATTGTTGCTGATTATATATTTGTTTTAACCTAAAAATACATATACTTTTTCTTAAGTTTCAGCGGTTGGAAATATATAAGAATATAATAGAATGATTTATTAGTATGAATCTATTTGTAAACGTAATGGCTTTGGATTATTATTAACCACTTCAAGAAGTATTAACGCGAAGCATCAAATAAATTCAATAGATAAAGCGTACAGTTAATCATTTAAACAAGGCTTTAAGTAAAATTTAACTCTTTAGTTTTTATGGAAAACTTTGTAGAAAACTTCGGAGAAGTAATTTTTATACATATACCATCATTAAGGGAATTCAATGAATTAATTTGAAAGTAGATTTTCTAGAAGAATGATTTCAGCAACCAAAAATTGCGCTTGCTAGTTAATAAAACCCTCTCAAAACATTTCTACCTAACATCTTAAAGGATATGAGAGTTTCTGCTATAGACGAGGAAACTATTGGGTTATAATTTCTTACTTACATACAGGAACTAGAAATTAGTAAGATCGGTCAGTAAGTTTACCATCGAGAACAATTTAAATTACACTTTAAACTCGTTTTAGTATCGAGTTGTTTTTAAAATGTGAGGCTAAAAGTAAGATATTTCTTCACTTGTCGTGAGTTTTATTAATGACGACATCGGAAAATTAGTCAGCGGTCGTATCACGAGTTTACTAATTTCCAGTTCCCCACAGCTGATAGGTAGTTTAGCGAAGAGTCAACGTTGGATTCAGACCTAGACGCCAAACGCTGCGCGATTCGGCGGTCACGTCTGACTGTCTAGGTCGAGGGGTCTACTTGGTTAGGGCGTTGTCTTCGTGCGCCTTCTTCACCACGGCGAGCTTGGAGTTGGGGTCCTGGGGCTGGAGCTGGGCGTAGGGGGGCGCGCGGGTTCCGTGCAGCACCAGGGACCAGCCTCGCAGCCAACCGGACGCAGAGCTTGGACTGGAGCCGCCGTTGAACCTCGCCTGTTGCGTCCAAATCCGTTATTACTTATCCCGCAAGAGTTACGCCCGGTTTCTGAAACACTGATCATCGTAGATGTCAACTAATCAGCTGTCAAATGGCTTTTGAAATTTAACTTTAGCTGCCAAAAGGATGGTTAAATTATTTTAATTGATCATTATGATCATTAAGGAGATCATTCTGGTCAATTCAGGGAGTTTAACCATTCTTTTGGCAACACAAATGCTATATGAAAAGCCATTGGACAGCTGATTAGTTAACATCGACGAAGATCAGTGTTTCAGAGACCGGGCGTTAGTCATCAATACGGTTAGCAACAGGGTAAACAGGGGAGGGTAACTTTAATTTGAGTAAACTCATTCATTACTCAGAGCTCTGAGAATGACGGGACACAAAGCGATGTGTGTTCTTAATGCCATCATACAATTTACTAATGCAAATCGATACATTTAACTATGGCATTTAAACGCTTTGTGAGTCAGATCGTGATATATTAAAAAGTTATAAATAAATGTTTACTGTTGCTTTTTAAAGTTTGAAGTCCTAGAAATAAACATTGCTTTCGAATGTAATAATATTACTACGACAATAATTTATTTTATCCTATATATAAGAAAGTACCTATTAATTATTTTTGCAAAGGTCTTTCAAAATTTTAGGGTATGTGTTTAAGTTTCCGAGAGGCAAGGATCTTTTTAATATTATTTATTGGTCCTTCTTGTCCATAAATACAATAGAGAAACCAGTTTATCATTATTTAAGCTCCAAAACCGTCGTTACCAAACTTTAGTATATGTCACCGGTCTAAATATATCGACGAACATGATTCTTCGGACAATTTTGTCAAATATTTTCCCAACCTCATATATCATCAGTAGATGTCATCCATTCAGCCAAGTTTACAACAAATTTATTGACGATATATATCGACTAAAGACTTAAATTTAACAATTATTGGTAGAATAGAAAGATACCGTCATAATACCACTATCGTTTTATTGATATTGCCGTATTGCTTTTAAACTCGATGAATACGCTGTAAATTGTGAACTTATTACCTCTAACGTCCAAGTGCCCTGTGGGTATTCGCCCCAGGTGTGCGTAGTCATGAATGGCCATTTCGTGAAACCATCGCGCGAATCGTCGTCGTTGGCACGTCTGCTAAGGATCATTGACCTAACGGAGAGATCAATGAAAGTGAGCAAAAACTACTATTTATTAAAATACTAGTTGCCGCCCGCGACTACGTCTGCCTAGAATAGGCTGACATTCAGACAGAGATATGCATAAAAATATGTATATAAATTATAGCCTATGTCTTATTCTGATATCTAAGCTATATTATTGTAAAGTTTCATTAAAATCCATTCAGTAGTATTAGCGTGAAAGAGTAACAAACATCCATCCATACATACAAACTTTCGCCTTTATAATATTCGTAAGGATGAATAGAACTGTTGAGAATGGAAATGGAATAAAGGCACTCGGTTTATATTGTTCAAGACTAAGTAAGTTGTACAATGGGACAACGATAATCGAATGTGCCTTAAACCTTGAAAATAGTGACTGTCAGTTGTAGACAATTAACACTACATGATTAATTTATTAATTATGTAGTGTTGAATGTAAACAAAGGGCGGTCCATTTACATATGCACTAAGGGCGATTGTTATGCTATCAAGTGAGATGACGTAACGTAAATTCACGCGTCACAGTCATAGTGTCCGAGCCGAGTTAGGCGAAAACATTTCCCGGGGGGACGGTGCGCCCCTCGAGACAATGCCCGGGGCATGGGGTTCGAGTCCCCGATACCCGTACTCGCACCTACCCGACTGCTAGGGCAGTGTGTGGACGACCCGTGTGTGTGTGTGTGTGTCTTAAACCTTGAAAGATGCGCAAACTGAATGCTTCTTTGTTATATTTAGTTTTTTGTCATTTATTACTGTATCTGGTGATAGTAATAGTTCGTGCCACATTTACGTACGCTGTACAATATAAATTAGAGACTGTAATTAAAATGGAAAAATACTAGAAAATCTTTTTGAGTCATCCCTTTGGTTGTCCTGTTGGCTGATGAGCGACTGATGTTAAATGATATCTCCGGCACCTGAGATGCGTTGGAAATCTTTGAAAAGAGTGGACTCGGCTACCTCACTCACCAGACAAAACGTAAAAGTATACTTCTGCTTCGTACTGGTCTTTCTGTGAGGTCATAGTAGTTCCCGGGACGAGCCTGCTTGTATTTGCAACAGAAGAGGAAGCTGTTTAATGACTCTACCACAGTAAAAGTAGCAATTTAAAGTAAAGCTAATTTTATACTTCTTTGATATAGTGTGTATCAATTTTTACTCCCTTGTATTTGGGATACGTTTGAAAATGGAATACCACTATATTTTGTAATTGTAATGACGTGTTAAAATTGAACCGTAATACTTGTTTTCAAAAGATATTTTATCCGTTTTTTATACTGTGTTTGACATTAAAATATTATCAGAATATTTAAAAATACTAATTAAATTACAGATACTATTCCTCTCTATTTTTGAATAGTTATAATTAACCTTACCTTGTAATATCTGCTATATAATTCTGAACCGCGACTTATGCAGAATGAGCTGCCATGTGGCAGAGCTTACTCTGCATAAGTCGGGGTCCACTTTATTAAAAGGTGGTTTATCTGAGACCCTACGGGTGTTGCAAAAGTCTACCGGCGGTAGATATCGCTTAGCATCAGGTGAACAGCCTGCTCGCTTACCACCTTCTCACTTAAAAAAGTCACGATTTATATACATACCTGGTGCCCATAGGGCTGGTGAGGAAGAACTCAAGGTCCCCACGGCGAGTGGCGTTGGCGCTGACGACCGCTTGAACATGTTCCAGGTACCTGACTTCACTGGGCGATCCAGAGCAGGCGGACGTCTCGATGCGCAAAGTTACGCTGCCCTCAGAAGGGATTTCCCTAGTTGAGAATGTTGAGAATTTTAAGATAATGGGTAAAATAAAAGCAGTAACATAGAATACATTATTTATCTGCTGTTTGCTAAATTAAATTCCAAAAATATTTCAAAGAGTCCCCCAATCCGGAATGGGGTCGCGTGGTGAACTATGCCCCAATGCCCTCTGTACGGGTTAGGCATTTGCAGTACAGTGGGGCAAATATATGCTATTACTTCCCTTCACTTTGAAGCAGTGTTTATTTTCAATACTAATTATGATAAAAATGAATTTACATCGTGGTCACATAATTATGTTACACATATTATGTGGTCACGTAATCTACGTTGTAATTTGGCAGTCTAATTCAAATATATTTCTGCCAGGAAAGAACTTATTAAAATTGCATTCTTGTGCTTTGTAGTTATTAGAAACTCGTAAAAATGAATTGTAATTAATCCACACATATGTTATATATCTTTTAAAACCAATATTTTTGAAGCATAAGTTTTCACTTCCACATCAACACAACTGGTCATTATTCTTCACGTAAGTATCTTCCATGCAAATTTTTTCGGTGTTCCACTAGCTTTGCGTAGAACTCGTAGTTAGTCAATATGGTGTCATGCTAAGTACAATAATAAATTTCTTTACTAAATACAGTATAATGTTAGTTATTAATTACAGAAAAGAAACGTAAAGTAAGGAAAAACAAACCTAATTTCATTAAAAAGAATTAATCCAATAGTTCAGTCAACTTTTACTTCATTTTTGTTTGCGTGATTACCGATGAATCAAATGGTTTCAATGTTTTGTATACGTACAGATGAGTCGATTGGTTTGAATGGAGCCTTTTTACTCACGTGTGCGTGTTAACCGAGCCGGCTTCACAATGGTACCGCGGAGGTACGGACCTCCAGTTGGCCGCTAAAGCGGTCATCGCTCCGGCGTCGAGGACCCCGAAACCGAACAAGTGGTTGAACTCCAAACCCACCCCATTCATCGTCCAGTGGAAGCGACCCTAAAATAATAATTACAATAATTAAAGTTACCAAACGGCTTAAAAATAATAAAGCCTTTGCTTTGAAAAGATGTGGGCGAAAGTGCTTGTGTGTTCGTTGGCTTACCTTTGCGTCATACAAAGAATTTCTCTTTGAGGTTAGAACTGTCAAATGTTGAATATCACGCCATGTTAGGCTCGGGCTGAAACAATAGAAAATGTTAGTTCTACGCACTCCTTGAATTTAATTAACATGAAAATACAAACCACATTTTGGATATTTGCCTTTGGTTAAAATAAAAACATAGATTTAATGAGGGACCAACACTCAATGTCAAATTATCGAATAATAAGCAAAAATAACAGGACCTTAGGGACCTTTAAGAAGAGAGCCTATTCCTTCATTAGAGGACAACAGTGCATTTGCCCAATTTGTGTCTATTTATCAGAGGACAACAGTGTTTGACACAGTTGCGTGTGCCTATCGGCGTTAAACACTTACCATCAGCACGCATGCTCTTTTGCCTCCTTTTCGATAGCGAAAAACAAAACCGAATTCGAAATATTTCGCTCCGTATTCATTTTATAATTGATTTCAGGAGTTCCCTATGTATCTCCGGAGCCCAAGATCCAATACCAATGAAATTAATATGGGACCGCATGGGAAGCACTACCTTTCAAATAAACGAAGTATCATCAAAATCGGTCCAACCCAACCCCCTCCTTTTTTAAAGTCGGTTAAAAGGGTTTACTTTGCGTGCAGTGCCAGCGCGAAGACGCCGGCCGCCTCCGGCGCAGCCGCCGAAGTGCCGGAGTGGGTGGCCGTGCACTTCCCGTACAGGTCGGTGGTCGCCACCCCGGTGCTGGGGTCGCGGGCGCCATTGCTGAACGTGCTCGCCAGCGTGGACGAGCAGGACTCGTCGTAGTGCGCGTTCTGGCCGTCGTTTATCGCGCTGCAACAAGTCGCCGGTTGACGCTAAGCATTACCGCCTGGCACGGACACTGCCCTCTCAGAACTATGTTCTGTTTAGCGGTCGCTGTTTGATCGTAATATTATAGTAGAAAAAAACATTATTTTCCAATAATTTCTCTGCGTTTAAGATGAAACATTGAAATTTGTAGAAAAATGGACGGAAAGTTTTTCGCGGCCGCGGAAATCGAACCACACGTCTTCCGGAATCGCTGACTGATGCCTTAGTCACTAAGCTAATCGGCTGATTGCAACGGCTACGAAAATGTGAACGAAAATGTTTGGCGCATGTAGTACCTATTGTTATGCCCCTTACAGCACACAAACAATTTCAAATGATAACTCGAACACAGTTTTTATAGTGCACTTAATATTGATACTTAAAACCCACATAAAGATGCAATATAAGAATATAGATAAACGCCGTTTAGCTTAGGCTTTTGCAGGCTGTTAGCTTAGCGTCTGTAACTATACCTGTTGATAGATACTGTCCACATCGATGCCGCGTAGCCATCGCAGTTGCAGTCGTCGTCTTCACCACCGTCCCCGCTCGCCCAGACGTAGATATTCCCCAAACCGTTGCGACCCTGGTAGCAGATACAGAAAACAACGAAAAAGTTTTAGGTCTTATTTGATTTCTTCTGCTTCCCTCGCTCATGTTCCATCTAGGTGGAGTCGGCACAATATGTTGTTAATGGCTTGGTTGCTTTCAACCCTCCTTGGAAACAAACACCCAGATCGGGAACAATTTTCGGTTAAAAAAAGTAAAGTATCAGCCTATAAATGTTGCACTGCTGGGCCTCTGTACTGAGGGTATTAGGGCATTATCCATCACAAGACCCCACTGCGGATTGGCGGACTTTATATACTTTTGAAATATTTTTTGTTTCGTTATTATTTAAAAAATATGCAGGTTTCTTTACGATATTGTCCTTCACAGCTGAGGACTTAAAATTAACAATTTCATTGGTGCTGGCACCGGGGATCGAACTTAGGTTGCTCGAGTTTATAGAGCGATATTAAAAGCGAGTGCCCGGATAGTGAGCTATCACCGTGTGGTGAACGAACCTACGAACCCCCACGAACGTATATATATCATCTATGCCCGGCACCGAAGAAAAAGGCTTAGAAACTGTACCACCCAGTCTGAAAACATTAGGTTAATTAGATGACACTCAGATGTTAGATCAAATATTGACACGTAATACATAAATTGATTTTGGCTTAGCCATATTAATTTTATAAAATTCATATTAAAATAGCTATATGAATTTGATGATTTGTTATAAACTAACATCCACCCAACCGGGGTGGATGTTAGTTTATAACAAATCATCTCTAACTATTCTTCAAAACAAAAAGAATTAAAAAAAAATGCGATCATTGCCTTACTTCGCAGGATTACCTCTAGGTTGATTTGAAAATTTTATGGAAATCAGTCCCGTCGTTTTGAAGTTATGTAGATTTACAGTCTTTATACATTTCAAGTTGCCATTGTGTTTTACTATTTCGTTTCATACACGTACAATAAGCAATTGCCTTTGTCCTAGCTTGAATTTTTTAAGTCATATGATTGTGGACATATATCTTTATGTATTTTCGATACAATATTTTATTATTCTATACAAGTATCAGCTATATATGGTAATTTCATCGCATGGTATAGGCAATACTATAAATCTGTCTGTTTCTCTAAGCAAAAGAATGTGTTCGAGCATAGCAAAAAGTATTGACGGTAGTGGCGGAACATGGTAGAGTATCAAGTATCCGATGACTGTGTCGATGAGCAAATTGGATAAGAAATATAAGGAATTTCCCGCCAGCATATAGCCAAAGCCAGCCCTTGGAAAAGAGAGAGAGAGAGATTAGATTACAAAATGAAAAAAACTTGAGATTTTTTCATATTTTAAAATGAAATAACGCGTTGGAACTGTAAAACATTAATTAGCGTCGGCTTTGACCTTCACGCGGCAGCGCTACGCTCTCATCTGTCAAATGCAATTAAAAAAACATTCCCCCTCGTCCGTCCGCTTTTACTCGTGAACTAGAATTTAAACAATAGAAATAATTTCGCTATCTTAGTTTATAGCGAATATTTTTGTTTACTCGTATTAATCGGAACCTAGCAGAATTGCTAGTGTGATTTCTCTACATTATTATTGTTTCTTTGTTTATTTATCGAAACCTCTTCAGCAAAATTGCTAGTATAATTTCGCTATCTTATTATTGTTTACTCGTATTAATCGGAACCTAGTTTCCCGTGCGCGTTTGTTACACAAGCTGTGGTTTGTTTTATATGAATACGTCGTTAAACGAATGTGTTCAGTGAAACGGTCACGTGTAAGTTTACCACAATGCAGAAAATATTTCCATTGTACACTGTTATAAGGTGAATTATTATATACGAGTAGTATACATGTATGTCTGTTACCGTACAACTGAAACAATAGGTTTCATATTGAGTGAGACATTTATTTTTCACGTAATGTAGTAAAATTTCACATGTTAAATAGCAGTGCATCGTCTGCAAGACTGCCTATAATATTTCGCTATGTTTTTAATAAGCTTGAGGGCTCATTTAATGTGGAATGAAGGCGTACGTGCGTGCATCTTAAGTAAATATTTACCATCGAGAACGGTGGTAGAGCCACGCAGCAGCCTCGGCTGTTGCACGAATGGGCTGGCTCGTCCGGGTAAGTACTACGACCTCACAGAAGACCGGCGTAAAGTGGAAGTATGAAAAATACTTTCGCCTTTCGTCTGGTAGCCGGAGCCCAATTTCCAAAAAGGTTGTCAACGTATCTGCAAATCCTCGGGTGTAGGAGATGTCCATGGGCGGCGGTATTCACTTAACATCAGGTGTACCGTCTGCTCGTTTGGCAACTTTTCACATAAAAAAATCGAGAAGTAAATATTTTCTAAATTGATCATTTTGTTATAATTTAAAACTGTAGCGTCGTTAAATATTTATTGTTAACTGTTTGTTAAGCAAAAGATCATTGCTTTTAATATGTTCACACAATAGAACTGCGCCTCAGCGATGTAAGCCAAATTCAACCATTTCACGTTATAAAGAAGCCAATATAGTTCATCCGGACTTCGAAGGCGGTGGCGTCAAATTGCCCATTTGACGCGACAGAATCGGTGTATATTAAAGTGCTGTAATGTATACAAGCGAAAGGATGTAGGCATAATAAAACATACCCACAATATAGATGTATAAATACCCTATGCTGTTTACTCAAAACATACACCACACCTTTTCTCGTTTGAAGTACTGTAAACATACTGTGGACCATACAATTTAACGGTAGAGCCACGTACACGATAAAGGATTCTTTAAGAAAAAAGATTTAAAAGCTGTATGGAATATTTTGATCACGGAAATACTGGTGAAAGCGCGCTTGGACGATGGGGTCTAATTTCTATTGAAAATGGAGTTTCATATTTCTTTTTAGGGTTGTTACTAAAACCGCTGTATGTCTGTCACCAGGCTGATATTGTGACAGTGATATTTAAACATATGAAATTTTCACAGATAATGTATTTCTGTTACCGCTATAACAACAAACAATAAAAAACAGAATAAAAAATATTTTAGTCGGAGTCCCATGATTTTTTTTGACATTTTCATAAATGATCTACGGAATCCTTAGTGTGTGAGTCCGACTCGCACTTGGCAGGTTTTTGCATTTTATATCTAACTAGCGACCCGCCCCGGCTTCGCACGGGTGCTATGGTGCCATTATACATATAAACCATCCTCTTGAATCACTCTATCTAGTAAAAAAATATTACAAAATGACGAAATCTATTGACATTAATATTTATACGATACTAATCAATAATCAATCAATCAACATCAGGCTATTGCCGTCCACTGCTGAATGAAGGCTACGATACTAACGTCACTCAATTGTATTGCCTTCCCGGAACCTCTACACTAACACCTAAACTTTATGTTATGATATTAAAGTTCAAATTGACTTTTAAGTATTATTACGAATCTTTTGTAGGGGAATATAGAAAAGTTAGACTTTTTCAAGCAATTTTTAAAATTTTTCTCTCCGTAAGAATCAAGGAATATTATAAAAAAAGAATTAGCAAAATTAGTTCAGCTGTTCTCGTGATTTGCGCTTAGCAACACATTCAGCGATTCATGTTTATATATAGAGATAAAAAAACCATTAATATGTCATTTACACATCAGAAAACTGTGATATCCAATGTCACATTTTGCTTATTATTCTAGAGTTTGACATGTTTCGTTGTGTTATTTAAAACATTCTGTCGAGTTTTTATTCATAAAAAGTAAATTTAGTTGCCTGACTAGCCTTATTTCAGAGAAAATATTTTTTTTTAATTAGACTTGCTTTAAGATTGAGCGTTAACATGGTTCTTTTGTAAACTATGTACTTTCTTTTTAATTAAACGAATGGTTTCTGAAACTGGATGTATTAAGTCTAAATTTATGTTAAGTGCTATTCGAGTAGCTATTGATGAAGTGAGTGCGAAAATTTTCCACGAGTCTTCAATAAAAAAGAACTCGCCAGTAGATAATGGAAAAGTCCGACATTTTAATTCCCTTGTTCAAACACAGCTTAATCTCTTTATATTTATCTGTTCAATCTATTGGTTTTAGGGTATAAAAGAAAACGACATTATGAATCAAGATTTGTTTTTTTTTAAAGAAGTTAACTTAATGGTCAATATTGTAAACAAGCTCTCAAATCCTAAACACTTGCGTCGGTCAAACGGGATCGACAATGAAAGAACTTTATCGTTGTCATGTGTATTGAATTGATTTTACTGCCGAGAATGAAGGAAAGACAAGTGAAATTTTATACAGAAATTTATTTTATATCAAAGAAAACAAACGTACAAGAAAGTTAACGAAAGATTTTAAGGGGATTAATTGCTTGGTCTGGATTTTATTTTCTGTTTAAATTTTAATAAGATTATGCTAATTTGAACGGCGCTTATAAAAATTTTCAATAAAATTGGGAAAAACAGTTAACGTTCTCAAAATTTACCCGTAATTATGCGTTAAAGTTAAAGGGAATTATTTGAATGTCGTTAATTGGCGTAAAAAGCAATATCGTAACTTAAAACGCTACGTACAATGCCTACGATTGAGGTCTACGGCAGCTACGATGATGAGAAAATTGATTTGCAAATGAACAGTAAATTAAGTAGTTATAAATTTGTTAAAAGTAAAAAAAAAAAAATGAAAAAACTTACTGAGGTTGATCAAACATTATCGCAAGAATAGTTGCAGGATCTCTTTAAATTATTTCTCAAAGGTGTTTTTTTCTTGGGTACGCTATAACTTATATAATTCTTCGACAAATTTTAAGATTTAAATATCACTTTAACTTAACATTACGAAAAAAAAAACAAATACATGATAATTTGATAAACTGTTTTCGAATCGGGGTTTTTGTCCGTGTAAAATTCATATAGATATTTAAAACGTTGCTACAGATGTAGCTTTATATTATATACGCCATTTAAACAGTACCTCCCATTATAAATAATCAGAAATATGTTTTTCAGTTATATTTTACCTGCCGAACAGATGCACTCACATAAAAATAAACAATAACTTAAAAGTTACTCGTTCCTTTATAAATTTGAACGTATCAGACAGACGGAAGTTGTGTCTTATCCATTGCGATAACCTTAAAAAAAGCTGATTAAATAAAAAACATTTACCTCATTAACTCCTCGAACGATGGCCCTCATCGTCGCGTTTCTCGGGCCATCCACAGTCCTCCCGTCGTCCGTTGGTCCCCAAGATGCGCTGTATATGTGAATCTTATGGGGTTCATGCCCCATCGAGTTCGCCTCTATGAGGTCCGTCATGTACGGCTGGTCCAACATCCTGATACCTAGGCACGAAGTAAAGAGATCGATCAAAGATTTTGGCAATACAAGCTTAATCAAAGCAGTTAGTTAATAAAGGAACGGTTCCTTACTTTTACTTTCCGATTAAGAACCGCGCACTTGTATATTGAATAATAAGTAAATAGACGTATATTATTCTTTTCGTTAATTATTTATTACCTAAAGAATAGTAACTGACATCAAATAAGGAAGGAATGTCTCGACGACGCAAATGTGTGGAGTTAATTTTTTTTATACTCACGTAGGCTAGAATAAGACCATACCTGAATGTTATATTGTAAACTGATATTTTTGAAAAAGAGCAACTGTTGAGTTTCTTGCCGGTCTCTTCTCAGCAGAAACTGCTTTCCGAACTGGTGGTACCTTACGAACCTATATGTAATTTTTTATGTAAAATTTGACGATTCATAAGTACGCGCAAGCGTCTATTTGAATAAAGATATTTTTGATTTGAATTAACATCAAATTGAAATGCCCGTAAAATTGAGGTCGTGTGCATCTTTGTGTATATCTTCGTGTCTATAAAACGCGGATGTGGGGAATATTATACCAATGTTGGGTGGTCGTTGCGAAAGATGTCAATCACGCGGACCGTTGGACCGTATGCAGTGACCGTATGTAGTGACCGTGTACTCAGACTGGGCTTGACACAATAACCGTCAGCGTGATCGTAAATAATGCAATCATCACAGTATTAATAAACCCAAACTAACAGCCACATTCGCATGATGCCATTAGCAGTTAACTCGGAAAGTTCGTCGATTTCCCAGTATTTATAGCACACCACTGGGTAATAAATGAATTTCTTTATACATAGTTAAGAGCTCATTGGCATCTTCAAATGGACTGGTCACTGGTCAAATATAATAATGAATGTAAAGTATGTTAACTGTTATAGTTACAGTGTCCAGTAAACAGTTTGTAGATATACTGCAATGGTTACAAGCGGGCCTGCTAAAAGGAATTGCTGTCGTTCACTGTCCAAATTGCTTAATATCTTGTTCATTACACATTCGTGGATTATTGCGAATAACTTTGTTATTCATTTGTGTGAACATATTTTTATTCGAGGGAAATGCTTCAATGAGCTAACTCGTATATTTCTTACAGTCGATAGTGTGAATTTTGCTCCGTGAACCCAACATATTATTTTGATTGAGATATTCGTGGCCTTCGATATTCGAGTAGAAAAAAAATCAAATAAAACTATGCGACAGAGAGTCGTTCAGGCAAGTTATTCAAGAAGAAAGTCGAAAAATAATTACTAAGTCCCAAACAAATATTCTAGATATATATACATATAGTTTTATGCTGTCAATGTAATCAATCTGTCTTCAAAAAATATTTATCTATTTATCGCGCATTGCTTATGTAACATGAATGTTATCATTGTGAACTAGTAAAGTCAAGGAACAGCCTATACCTGTCCGTCTAGTCTAGTGCTGGGCAAAGGCCTCCTTTGTAATAGGGTATTAGGGCATAGTCCGCCAAGCGACTGCATTGCAGATTCACATATCTTCGGTATGTGTTTTGTTATTATTTCGGTAATATGCAGATTTCCTAACGATGTTATCCTTCACCAATGAACATGCGATTGCTCAGCACTCACCATCACCAGGATTGAACTCAGGTGGCTCGATTATATTGAGTTATAAGCGAGCGCACGGACACTGCGCTATCACGACTACATGTTATCATTACTTTCATATTATTGTTGCAACAAGTGTATTACGATGTTTTCCTTATGAATATGAAAAGAATATCACTGCAGAATTTTATATTCTATCCTGGATTGATCTAAGATTTTGAAATGGTAATGATTGCAGGTTTGGAGAAGAGGTAAAGGAGATAGGAGTTGCTTAAGTAAAACATTTCAACAAATTATTGACGCGAGCTAATCACAATGCCACGTTATCTAGGTTTGTTAGATGACGTGTTATTTAGTTGTTAGTCGATATTGTAAATATGTTTGTTGTTACTGCGTACCTGCTACTTTGGAGTGGTAGGCGACACCGACTCCGCACACTCCATTGTCCCGCGCGGCCGCCACCTCTCCTGCACACCTCGTGCCATGACTGGACATAATTACATAGCGTTATCACTTCACCATCATCCTCACGATCGTGTCGGCAAAACACGTGAATAATTTTGTCCGCGGTACAGTCGCGATAGGTTATAGCCCGTCTTACGTCAACTCTCTCTCATAGTCTCTTGGGAACTGTCTTACGTCAACTCTCCTTGGGAACTCTCTCAACGCTTGCCTTTTCTGTGCGGGATTCAACGACTATCCGTGCCCAGACCTATAGCTTTGCAACTATGTTAGTAGTAATTATACCGATATTGCATATCTACGCGAATTCTGCACATAAATAACATCATTTTAATATTTATATTCATTCCATGGTGATGACTGTTGCCAGGTATGTTGCACTAAGAATTGTTTTTAAAATTTTATATTTACATTATTAATTTGTTTTATATTTGCGCGTCATAATAAGTAAGGGTAAAGTCGAAGAGTCTCGTATATCTGAATGTTATATATATATATATATATATATATATATATATACTAAAATACAAGTAATAAGTCCGTTTTAATTCAATTAGTCATTATAAAGTCATTAATTTGCGGTGTATAAAATTAAATATTAATATATATGAAAAAAAAAATACAAATTATAAATGAAAATTGTTGAGTTACTTGTCTACTATTGTCATTTTGGAAAACAAGTAGTATAATGGTATTTTTATCCATTTAAAGCTTTTTTATAAATTTAGCAAGTAGAGAAATGGTACAGAAAATTCAATGATTCTACAAAAGGCCAGAGGTTCTTAAATCAAATTAAGATAACTTTGACGGCTCCAGAACCTCTTAAATAATCAACACAAAGGCTCTTTGTGTTGGTAGAGCTAAGTGAGATAAATTTTAATGATTTCGAGTTTCAATTTACCATGTCACTCATAATTATCCCATTAAATATTGTATGAAATTCTTAATTCAATTAAATACACAATAGATTCTAAGAAAATAGGCGTAGTATTTAGACAGTATTTTTAGTATTTAGGCGTAGTAGTTAGTACAAAAAATGTACTTTAACTGAAAGTATGACATTTAACGCAATGAGATGGACAGTAATTTCATTTTGAAACTGTAAAAAATTTACAAAGCACACTTGCAACTTAGATAGCGTTTTGGGACAAATGGTCTCTGGTTCAAGTTTTTGTAAATTTTTTCATGCAAAAATCACCGTTCCTTATGCGACATTGTTTTTTTAACTCAAAAATTATTCAAATTCAGTCAAGAAATTTTATACATCTGTTATGAATTTCCGTTTATGTGGGTATGACTATAGTGTGATGCAAAGATGAACGCTTCATCGCTTAGTTTAGAGTTTAGAGTTTTAGAGACTTAAGTTTTTTTCATAATTATCATCATCATTTCAGTCTGTTAGAGTCTACCGCTGAACATAGGCCTCCCCCGTAGACCGGCACCACGCACGGCCCTGAGACAAATGCACACATTGAACTAACATTTGCGCAAGTCATCACTCCATCTTGTGGGGAGTAGACTGTAATGGCCAGTACGAGTCTGCCACTTGAGAACCTTCCCCCTTCGTTTATCTGTTCTTATAACTCAAGGCCGGCCTATTCCCACTTTACCTGTTATGTTTAAGATTTTTATGGCAATTGATTAGGTGGTATATTTGACGTCAGTGGTGGCCGTACATCAATAATTAAAGTAGTCCATAGATCGCTATCGATACGTAGTTAATTAAAACGGGCCGCACCTGTTGAACCAGTCATCCGTGTAACGTGGGTACGGATATGGGTCGTTGCTGCTGAAATCGTATGACGCCTCCGCGTTCTGAAACAAATACAACTTTAAAACACCAGCATCTTTTACACCAGTAGGTAAGACAATGAAAGCTAGCGCAATTGGTCAAAATCAAAATCATTTATGCATTGACATAAGAAACATAGTCATAATTCTTTTTTTAATCTACCACCGTTTCGTAATGAGGTTTCTCTAACGGAGAAGAAACAGGCGAAAGAAACACGGCAGGTATCCTCTTTTTTGGAATTTTTTGGTGTTTAACCGACTTGATTGAGTCTCCACGTGTGAAGTGATAAGCTTATCTAAACCGATAACACCAAATCTTAGACTGCGACCTAAGGTCTTCAGCAGACTTCTAACTACTAACAGAAAGTCCTTCACAAGTCCTTCACAGCTAACATAACAGTCACCAACAAATCTTTTACCTTAAACATGTTGCTACTTTGTTGGGATAAGAGTACTGGATAATTTAATATTTTAGGGATTAACGGCGAGTGTTTCAGTTAGGATATATCTATATATAAACATTTTATTCAATCAAAAATATATATTGGTCGTAGTTTTGACGTTTATCCAGAAGCAAATGGTGTTTTAATGGGAGTTACTCTGCAGAGATAGATAAAATGTACGCACGCACGCACACACACACACACACACACACACACACACACACACACACACACACACACACACACACACACACACACACACGCACGCACACACACACACACGCACGCACGCACGCACGCACACGCACACACACACAAACGTTTGCATTAACAAAGGTTTGCAGAACCATTACATATATTTTAGTGTGTGTGTGTAGGAGTTTTCACCATGTGGCCTTATATCCTCTTATCAACAAGTACAAAGTGAAGAACTATGTACAATTAAATATTTTTTTAATACATAAAAACAAGAACTTAAAGCGGTTATTTCAAAGCCTACATATAACGTCGACTGGCTAAGAGTGATTTAGATTTGAGTACAATAATTTCCTGTATGAATGATATACCAAAGGCTAATGGAAAACGGTAATAAATCTTATTACGTGAGTGAGTGACTATGTTAATGGTGACGTATAGATATGTCGATGTTATTTTTATTCGCCACATGCCATCACGACTGAAGGCGAATTAAGCCGACACATTTATACATAAAAATTTATAATATGGTCTTTATGGATGGTTACCCGTTGTGATGATATTGTAGTTAAAAGTATTTGCCTTGCATAGCATAGCAAACGTTTTTAGATAAAGATCTTGTATCTTGTATTAACTGATGTTTTTGCTTTCAGTCCCGAGACTATTAAAGCTTCATCGGACGCAGAACCGGTGGGCTAGCCAGAACCCACGGGTTTGGACCCTCCGCTATGGGTAGGGTCGCGCATGTGCTCATGCGTGCGTTTAACTACTATGGTGTGTCATCTAAGGGCCGTCGAGGTCGCCGGTTCGGACCGAGACCCCGACGGCCGTCGACTGTGCATTTAGCTAATCGGTGGCTGGGAGCGGTGAGAACCGCCCCGGAACGCGGGTGTACCTTGTGTACGCGTTGTGTGGGTCTCGCCGTGCTCGGAGGCGAGGGCGAACTGGTGTGATTGTTGTTACACTAACTGTGGGTGTAGTGTTATCCGGCGGGACCCCCGGCGGTGGGTCCATCGTGTCTAAGTCCTCTTCGTCGACCGGGTCGATGAGGACGTTTCGCGGGCGACGCTTGTTAACGTTCGCGTTAGTGTCCGGTAGGTAGTTTGCTGCGCTTACCACCAGAGGGTTGGGATGATGCTGGGCTCTATCGAAGAACCGTTTTGTCAAATCTTTAAAATGAGCGCGAATCGTCGGGAGTCTGCAATCGCTGTGCAGGTCGACGTTGCGCTGATACCATTGCGCACCGGTTGCGCGGCGGATAAACTTACTTTGAACTACTTGCAATTCGTCAATGCGCGTAGGATTTATGTGTGCGAAGATCATGCATGCGTAGGACATGATTGGCCTTACGCAAGCTTTATATAACAATAATTTGTGCCTTAAGGGCATTTTACTATGTTTATTCGTTAAATTGTGTAGCCGGCCGGAGACGAACGCGGCTTTGTTTCGGACTTGATTGATGTGCGTAGTGAAAGTCATACGCGAGTCGAAAGTGACTCCTAGATATTTGACCGTTTTCTCCCAGGGGAGAGTTTGGCCGTATAGTGATATTTGCCCCAACTTTCTGTACTGGCGAGGACCTTTGTAACGGTGTGGCGGATGGGGGTTGGGGGTGCTACGGGTGAAGTGAATCGCCACACTTTTCTCTGGGTTAATATCGATTCTCCATTTGCGGAACCAATCGCCGAGGCGGTCGGCGGCGCTTTGGAGTCGAGTCGTTAATTGGCTGAGGTTGCGATCTGAGTAAAAGAGCGCCGTGTCATCCGCGAAAAGCGCGAGATTGACGTGGGGGTCTCTGGGTATGTCGCTCGTGTAGAGCGTAAATAACAGGGGTGAGAGGCAGGAGCCTTGTGGTACGCCGGCCGTGAGGCGGCGGCTTGTGGAGAGGGTGCCCTCGACTCGATATCGAAAAGAGCGGTTCAACAAAAAGGCCCGGATGGTGTGTACGAGCCTATCTGGCACTTTGAGTGTGTACAGCTTGTAAAGCAAGCCGTTGTGCCAGACCTTGTCGAATGCCTTTGCGACATCGAAGAAAAGAGCCCCTGTACTGAGATGTTTCGGGTGGTTTAGGCCTTTTAGGATGTGCTCCGTTAGGCGGTATAACTGATCTGGACAGGAGTGTCTAGCTCGAAAGCCGAATTGTTCCGTCGGCAGAAGGCCGTTGGAAAATACGTGCTCTTTGAGCCTGTTTAACAATAGCCGCTCGTAGAGCTTCCCCAGACAACTGAGGAGGCTGATGGGACGATAGCTAGAGGGCTTATTGGCTGGTTTATTCGGCTTGCGAATGCCGATAACCGTGGCTTGCTTCCAGTCGTCCGGAAAGGAGCAACTGGAGAGAAGCGTATTGAAAATTGTCGCCAGTAAACAGATAAGCGGCCCAGGGAGAGCTTTTAGAATCTTATTACTTATATTATCTGGGCCCGGGGCGGATTTTGGTTTTAAATTTTTAATTATATCTTGGACCTCTTCGGGGGTCACTGAATTTAGAGGTTCGCCTTCCGGTGGAAGCGCAGCCCTAGTCTCGATTACGCGGTCCACCTCCGTTAGGTGGGCCGAATCGGTGTGTTCGCGCGATGGCGTACATTGCTGCTCTAGGTTGTCCGCAAGGCATTCGGCTTTTTCGGAGTCATCTAGGGCTACTGAAGCGCTATTAGAACTAACTAACGGCGGTAGAGATTCGCGGCGGTCTGCTTTCAGACTGCGGGCCAACCGCCAGTAGGCGGTGTGCGATGGCTCGATGTCCTCTAGGAGAGTGTCCCACGTTTTTTGTCGGTGTTCCGATACACGATCTTTGACTTCAAGCTGAAGGCGTCGAAGTAGAGTACGGTTCGATTCCGATCGGTATCGGTCGAAGGCGCGTTTAGCTGCATTTTTTTGTCTAATTAGCAGTCGTAGGTCGGGCGGAAAGTTAAACCGTCGGTCGCCCGACAGTTTCACCGTCCGTTCCGAGTCTGTGACTGCGGAAGTAATAGTTTCACGGAGACTCGCTATCGCTCGATTTGCGTCATCGAACGTAGCTATCGTCTCGGGTAAGTCTACTAAGTTCTGGGGGTCCAAGGCCTTGAGTTTGACCTCAAGACGATGCCAGTCCACTACGGATTTGGTCGGAGGGACCGCGCCGGCGTTCTGGCCCAGTTTACACAGGACGGGCCTGTGGTCTGAGTCTAGTTCATGGATTGTCTCTATCGACTCGATGTCGAGCGAGACCTCCCTGAATAACATTATGTCTAGGACACTCGGTGACGCGTGCTGGTAGTTGTCCACCGTAGGATACCTAGTGGGAGTCGCGGGAGCGACTATGCTGAAATTTAGGTTATCGGATAAGCTAAAGAGATGCTTTCCGTTGTTGTTTGGGATGCTGTTAATGTCCCATGAGCCGTGTTTGCAGTTTAGATCTCCTGCAATTATCACGGAAGGGCCTAAGTTTAGAAGCGTATCTAGGTCGCTTTGGAGGAGGGTTCTATTCCCCGAGAGGTAGGCTGAGACTAGTACAAGCGGCCTGTGGCCGGTGAGCGCAAACCTACACGCGGATGCCTCTATTTGATTTAGCTCTGGAATGTCGAGCGGGCAACAGTGCAAGGACCGTTTATAATAAATTAGTGTGCCTCCCAGACGGTTTGCTAACCGATCGTGGCGGACAATATTGTAATTTGCGATTCTGGGATCGCGTACGCTAGGCTTCAAGAATGTCTCTTGCACTAGGAAGATATCTACATTATAATCGCGGAGGAATTCCGCGATTTCATCCCTTTGACCCTTTATGCCGTTTGCGTTGAAATACGAAACAACCAGAGCCCGAGGTTTTGTTTTACCTGCGGTTGTACTTCCCATTAAGGTGCCTTTATGGGTCTAATTAACGACGCGGCGGAGCGCGGTTTTATTGCGCGGACTATTGATCTTTATGGTTGGCTCGTAAAAGCCCAAAGGGCTTCCACAAGCGTTTTGTGCTGGCTAATTGCCCTAAGACGCTCGTGGCCAGATGTGGCGGCCGCTAATTTAGCGGACAATACGGCGAGTTCCTGTCTATTTATTGTGTCCAATAAACTGCAAATGTTCGCTAATTGCGCGAATGGGTCGTCTTTGTTTTCCGCGAAAACTGACGGAATTGGCTGCACCTGCGGCCGCGGCGCCGTTTGAGAGGCGGGCAGCTGTTTCGCGATCGGTCGTGAGGCGACCGGGATTACGGGCGCGGTTACCTGCGCGGCCACCTGGGGTTTCGCCCAGGCGTTTACGACGGGTACGGGCGCGGGAATGAATTTAACGGGCGCGGGTTTGGGCAACGTCGATTTCGCGGGAGATTTCCTCGCGGGAGTTTTCGGGGCCTTAGCGCAGCCTCTGTAGCTAGCCGGATGACCGGTAGTGTGGCAATTTACGCAGTCCGGTGGATCTGCGCAATCTTTCGCCCTCGTGCACTCGGTTGTGCCGTGGTCACCGGTGCATTTGACGCACCTTGGGTGAGCGAAGCAGTTATTGGCCGTGTGGCCGAAATGTTGGCAGTTGTGGCACTGTGCCACAACACCCGATTTACGTGGGGGCTCGATGACTAAGTCACTGAGCCCACAGACCCTCTTGAGGTTGAAAATGGCCTTACCTTCCGGGGTAGGGTCAAGTTCCACCATGACCATGTCCATAGGGACACGGGTGCGAGGGTGCCTGAGACGGCGCACGGCGTGGACAGGGTATCCCTGAGTGCGGATGTCGACCTTAGCCATATCGACATCCGACTCTTTTGGGACGCCCTTTATTACGACCCGAAGTTTGCGCTCTTCGGGTAGAGAGTAGGTGTGGAAACCTACCTTAGCTTCGCGCAAGTATTTAGTTGCGCGACGGAAGTCGTCCGAAGAATTGAGGTATACGCGGATACCCATATGCGTATTCTTGGACCGGGGGTCTCGGATGTTGTGGCGTTCAAACCACGAACAAACTTGGTGCCACTTTGCCTTATCTTGTATTATAATAGGTGGCGGTGGCTTAATTTTTCGCTCGGAGGCGAAAGTCGGTTCCGACTGGGCAGACGCGGCTGCCTTTTTGGCGGGCGTCGCGGTGGGACGGTTTGACGGGGCGGCCTCGCTTTCGGGGTCGCTGTCGGTGGCGGGGCGTTTCTTGCCCTTTTTCCGCGATTTGACGACGGTGAAGCCGTCGGCGTTCGCGTTATTAGCGGGGGTCGTTTCGACCTCCATGTCTGAGCCGCCGTCCGATTGTGAGTCGGGAACGACAGCGCAGAAGGGGGCCGAATTGGATTGCGCGGAAGGCGCGTTGAGATCGATCGCGGCGGCGGAGGTCGACGCGACGGGCGTATTAGTTGTCGCAGAGGGCGACAAAATAACTGGTGCGGAGGGCACCGGAGATGGCGGCGAGACGGCAGCCGGTGAAGCCGGACTGTCGCTAGTAAATTCGACGGCTAGGCGCCGTTCACTCGCGAATTTGAGGAACTTTGCCCATATTTCGGGGCATTCCTCCCGCAGGAACTCCTCTAAGAGGGAACCCATTGCGACGCTTGTGCCTTTGGGGCTTGCGCCCCGCCGGCGTGTGTTTTTCTAAATAGGCCTCCCCACCTTGCGGCAGGGAGGTGTGTGCCTAAAATTGACCTTTAATCGCCTGCGCTTTAGGTGCGCTAGGGTGAGTACCTAGCTGTCGCCTAATGCAACAAGCACACAGATAAAAATTACAATGCCGCCTCTGAGACGAGAAATGTGTGTAGAATTCTACTTACGGACAGGAACCTGCCTACGAGCACAACACTACACTAACACTATCCGCTCGGAAGTCGGGCAAAGTTTCTTCTTTCTTCTGTAACGTTTCTTCTATCTTCTATAATGTTTCTTCTCTCTTCTTGCTTCAGACTTCCCTAACCGTAGACCGCGAAACACGACAACGATGAGGCAAGCAGTGCACACCGAGATATAAAGGAAATAATATATATAGCAACAACGGTTGCAAAATGGCTTCCGGGTCGGTTGGCATGGGCCCTCCGGCTCAGATTAACGTCCGTTCCGTGTGGAAGCACGAAGCGAATAGATAAAGATGTACCATTGATATTATTATGACATGTTTCTACCACTTAAGGATTTGCAGATGTTTTGATTATAATTGAAGTTAAAGTTATAATGTATTACTAGTATTTCACCTCTGGTACACAGACCTCTGATGCTCACGTACAATACACAAAGTTGTAACTTGAGAAATTTCGCTCCGAATAAACATTACTGTACGTAAAACACGACCACCTTTACTTAGTCAATTTTTTTATGTGAAAAGTTGCCGAACGAGCAGACGGTTCACCTGATGTTAAGTGAATACCGCCGCCCATGGACATCTGCTACACCCGAGGGTTACAGATGTGTTGATAACCTTTTGAAAATTGGGCTCCGGCCACCTCACACACCAGACGAAACGCGAAATTATTTGTCATACTTCTACTTTACGTTGATCTTCTGGTGAGGTCGTGGTACTTACTCGGACGCGTCTGCCCATTCGTGCAACAGCCGAGGCTGCTGCGTGGCCCTACCACCAAAGTTAATTACCTCTATATTGATCTAGTTTTCTAATCATTAAAAAGTATTCAATTTTATTACGGCAAAGGCTCAATAACCATCTATTGTGATACTAGACAGTGACCTATTTTCTCATGGTGTCTAAAAGCAGTTTAAACATTTATTTAAGAATAAAATGCATGGATCGATGTATTGCTTAAGAAATAAGAAGAAATTAAACTTCAATTACGATAATTTGAATAGGTAATAGATAATTAAGTTTATTAACGCTCGTAAAGGCAAATACTAAAATGTTCATTGCTTTTGAATGCTCAGCAATTCACGTCCGAACAAATTTCGTGCTCCAATTTAATTACATAACATCGTTTTGTAAATTCTTTATTATTAATGAGCAGTCAACGAGGCGATAGGGTTAATAAAGCTTTCTGTATAACAAACTGGATGCTATATTCACAACTAAAACACAAGGAACAGTAAATTTTGTCTGTAATATTATTTTTATCAATAAATCATGAGAAATAGGCTATTCTTTGAAAGATTGTATTATTCTTAACAAACAACCACAATTTCATGTTTTTTTTTACTAAAGCCACTAAGCTTTGTGGTAGACGTGCTCGTAAATAATAAATGAGTTCAGTGAAAACCTGCTCACACTTGCTTTGAAGGAGACAAGTTACAGTATGGATAGAATATGGAATGACAACTTTTCAGATTAATTATTTAACAGAAGTCAGCGTTAAACAAAGTGTATAAGAAAGATACTAAGCAACAATTATGAGAAAACTAAAAAAAAAAACGGGGAGTCAAAAACTCGCCCTGGCCACAGACTGGATCAGAGTTCTTAGCGTTGATATTTCGACCGACGCTCAATTTCGCGGTCATTATTAGAAAGCCAAGCTGCCTGCCAAAAATCTCGGTGTAAGTAGAGCGAGGCTGTATTTTGTGACAGTATTCTGCCAGCCCATCGTTTACAGCTCTATAAAACACAGAAAAGCAGCCCCTTCTACGTGATTCCGACATTCAACGAAGAACAGCTCGAATCGTCGACGACCAGATCCTGTCCGATCGCCGCGACCCTTTGAGTAAGCGAAGAGATGTTCCATGTCTTTGCTGTTTCCATCGGATATATAACGGGTTCTGAGGAAATGTTCGGACCGATACTTGCTGCTGAATTTCACTCAAACCATCGACACGACCCTGGTTAACGGTACACTACTGTGCGCTTTTTACGCAATAATCTGCCCCGCAGGGCCACTTTGTGGAACTAGTTGTCGCCAGCGGTATTTAAGGATCGATACGACATTGAGACTTTCAAGAAGAGGGTCTACTCACATACCTCAAAGGTTGGCAATGCATTTGTGACTCCTCCAATGTTGCAAGTGTCCATGGGCGGCAGTGATTACTTAACATCAGGTGATCCGCTTGCTCGTTACCCTCCTTTTTCCATACAAAAAAAAGACTGCTACTGCGATTTTGATTTTATGTTTCTTTTTCTGTATTGATATTGATTACTGATATTTGATGCGTAAAAAGCACACAGTTTTCATCATAAAGCCTAAATTGTTTGCATCATTTTAAGCAGCATCGTATTTATCTCTTACAGGAATTATTTGGAGAACTCTCAATAGAAACACGGCCCAGTAGACATGAATAAAGTATTTCCATTTAAAATTCAACGAGGACATAATCTCGGCTCCGGGTAGGGCGATAAGACTAATGCAGAGATTTTCCATTAACGTAAACACGAGCCGGAATTATTTAGGTAGATTGTTTTTGGATAAAAATACTCACATAATTGTACTTCAGATCTGGATGCATGTAGTCCACGCCTAAAAATAATTATGTTCATCAATATTTTGCTATGAATAATATCAAACATATATACAAATTGCTTGAAACTATAAATAGTTTCAAGCAATTTGTATGTATGTCTGTCATGTAATGTGTAAGCCTTCTGATAACTCACAAGAAATATTACGTAACATTCGAAGACAAAGAAGTTGTTCAGGTCACGTCAATGCCACGTTACGGGGAACATATGCTTATAATATTATGAATTTGAATGCATTATGAACAAATTGACCATATGGGTCCCAAGTAAATGATTGAGAGCCAAATGAAACATTCTTATGCATTTATAGTTAATAATTTTAATTTTAGTTCCAGACGTTTCGTACATTTTACACTTTTCATTACACATTTTACGAAATAACTAAATAAAAAATATATGTGAGAAATACGTAAAAATAGTTTCCTTTAATAGCGTTTACTTGCATAAAGACAAAAAATTCTCAAAGAAGAGTCGATAAATCATTGTGCCACTTTTTTAATTAAACTAATTTACGGGTTTCAATGACTTATAATGTAATGGACTTATAATTTTACGACTCATAATGGTTTTAATTTCCGAACACTGCAAACTCTGGTATCTAGATAGCCAGCCATGAGCACTAACCATGATTATAAGTGAAGTAACCCTTAATTAGTTTTATTAAGCACTGCGTTCCAAGTTTTATTCCAGTTTCTCAGATTCAATTCTTTATTTAGATCGGTTCGTCCGCAATTAGATTTGTGTGCAAAGTCTTACCGTCATCCATAATGGCGGTGGTCACATTGACCCCGGTGTATCCTTGGGCCCAGGCCGCTTCCACGTTTAGGTCCAGTTTAGGTTTCCCGCCGTTTTGCCCGGTATTCTTCAGGTACCATTGCAGCGGGAAGTACGGGTCGCGGGGCTCGTCCGCCGGCACCGGCTCGGGCACTCTCAGCAGACGGAAGCCACGCTTCACTCGCTTAAAACCCGTCTGCTGCACCGCCGTGTGAACCTTGGGATGTATGCAGTGTTTGTTTCCATACAAATTGTCAGGGCCGGATTCAGGGGAGGGCAGCCGGGGCCTCCACGAAAGAGGGGCCACAATAGACTTCGGGAAAAAAAAATCAAATTCGCACTAGTAGACAACTTTTCCTTTCATATTTATACTTGGTTTCACAATAAATTATTTATTGAACGTTTTCGACTGAAAAAAAAATTATCATTTCATTTGGAAAATAATTTCGGACCAGACCCTTAAATCAAGCCCTGCAAATTGTTGTTGGCGACAAACGAGGTAGCTGTTCGCTTGATGATAAATAATAACCGCCCTCCGTGAATATCTAAAACACCGAGGGAGTTTGACGTGCGGCGGCAACCTTTGAGGGAGGATCTCAGATTCCGTCACTTACAGATAACATGACGTAAGTTAAGCAGAATTGAAACACCGTTTATTAGCACACTAACGTATCTGAATAAACATACTATGATTTCACAGTTAAGAATTTCAGTAATAATTATTTGCTAATAAGAAATATTGAAAATTATTAATTTTATTTTCATGTTTGTAAGATCTATGTCCTTTAGCAAATTTACCATACATTTTAGGTCTTTTATATCAATAATTTTACAGCTACGGCCAATGAAATGGTTTAGAGAGACGAACAAGGCAGTCATTTTGACTCCTAGCAATTATATTAACGCTTATACTTGTATTGGAAATGCTTGACGTAACTTGATTACTTAAATCAAAAAACTTTTAGAGTCCGGTTCAATTCCACAGTAGAGTTTGAATTCCATATTTCAAATCGAAATCCCTGCCCTTTCATGCATGAAATTAAAAGGAGTTCCAAACAGTCAGGAAAATATTGAAACTGAAAAAACTGCAAACATTTTATTTACAACAAAAGAGTACTACAAATTAAAATTAACTTACATATAACACATACAAAAGTTTCTTCAAGTACAATTTGCTGAAACTTGTTATGTACAAATGTAATATCTGTTGTCTCCCCACTAGGCAAGACTGTATCGAGGAGGCACATTTCTTTTTGGAGGTTTTTCAACGTAAATATTTTTCAGTCGGCAGACATTGAGTTTGTTGGCATTAGTTCACCTGATGTTAAACGGCTACCGTTGCCATTGCATCTGCAACACCTGAGTGGTTGTGGACGCATTGAATACCTTTTAAAAACAGGGACCTGGTTACCTCAATACCTTTTTTTTATATTACCTCAATCACCAGACGAAACGCGAAAATGAACTTATACTTCTGTAACTTTCTCTCTCTGTCGTGGGACTTTCCCGAACGAGTCTGCCCATTCTTGCAACGGTAGAAGCTGCTTGTCCCTAGCTCAGTAAAAGTGGTGCTGCTGTGTAGACTCGTCATCTATAAAGCTATTCAACTTGTCACTCACCAGTGGATGTTGTTTCAGCAATCTCGTGTGTGCTATGGAGCGGCGAGTGCGCGCATGCGGTAGTCCACGGTGAGCGAAATGCCACTCCGTATCAGATCCCAGCACCTGAACAATACACGTATCAAAGTTAAGTGAAATAACAGCCCAAAGATGTCCCACTGCTGGGCAAAGCCTCCTTCTGCACTGCGGATTGGCGTACTTTATGTCTTCGAAAATATTTTTTTTTTGTTTTATTTCGAAAATATACAGGTTTCCGCACGATGTTTTCCTTCATCGCTGAGCGCGTGATAAGTCAGCCCTTGATTGAACTCAGATTGCTCGAGTATACTGAATTAAAGGCGAGTGCCTCGATACTGAGCTATCACGCGTATATTCTTTACTTAAACAATATAATGTTTTCATAGCCCTAATAAAATAATTGTAAAAATAATTATTCACAGATTCTCTCGGTTCTGTTGGATTCAGCGACTTATAACTTTATACAAAGTTAAAATCGTCTCCCAAATCAATCAATATTTACAAGTCGGCTTAGAAATTTTTAATGGTATTGCCTTGAACAGATTTTTAGTATAATTAAACAAAACTGTTGTAATATCGCGTTTAATTTTAATGCAGCCGGAGCAGAGTGCGGTGTGTTAAGACGGATGTCATCAGTTGTTAGGTATAGGACCAACTCTTTCAACTTAACTTGGGTTACAGAATTACCCTTTTCATATCTTATTTGGACTTATTTATTTACATTACTAACATTTCAACACACCTACTACATCATATTGAAGCTATAATACAATAATGTCGTTAGCTAGACATCGCAATTCATTTTTCTTGTTCAAAATGTGAAGTGATTTTATAGTCTTGCATTTAATTTTGTTCGGTTATCGTAAATATATGTATAATCTATATATTAATACGTGAAGCAAAAACTTTTTACGAGAACTGCGCGGGCGGAGGTGTATGAAATTTCACACACGTGTAGTTTTCTGTATACAGAAGGAGTGCAGGGTGCGAATTTTTTTTTAATTATGCATAAAAATACATTAAATCAATATAGAAAACTTTGCACAAACTACCATGTATTTGTCACGCACAAGCATATACTCTTTTGTTTATAGCGTATTGTATTTGAGAATAGATTAATATTGTTCAAACTTATAATTTAAATTAATTAGGGTCGAATTTCGACCATTCGGCGAGGCGTCCATTAGTAACAATAAATGGGTAACGTTCCCAAACACCGTTTATTTTTATTACATATTATTTTACTACATGTTCCTTTTTATTCATAGTAAGAACGGTTATAAAGTAATACGAATGGAATGATATGGATATATTAATCCAAGCAAATATTTTCCACATTCCTGCAAAAGGAAAGGATGAATCGCTACAATAAAATATCTGCGCACTTGAATTTGCTCTAAATTCCGTTCAAACCGCAGAAATGTGATAGTATTTTCAGTAACTCTCCTCGCTAGGAGTCGATTTAATATGTTTTATAGGGAAGCAACATGCTAGTATGACGATCAATAGTACAAATTATTTAGATTAATTCTGACAATTTTATTAGTAACTATGTACCTACATCAGTGAAGGAAAGAAAGATTTCATCCATAGAGAAGTTTTCTTATGAAAATTAAAGAGTTTTCATAAGAATTATGTAATTTTTTTCAGCGGAAACGTCTGATATTATTTTTTACAAACAATTTTTATGTCGACTGAGGTCGCAGTAAGCCTGAAAAGATTACTTATACGTTATCGACCATGAAACGGTGGGTCAAGTTAGCAGTCGGATTAGTTGTACTTTTAGAGTTTCACATTGAATTAGGTTAAGTCAAGTGTAAGGTCGTATCCGAGTGTGACGGCCAAGGGTTTTCGCTTATGTCTGGTTATTATTATATTAATTTTACTCCGACTTTCCAGGAAAACGTACAAAAACGTTGCGTAATTTATTCCGACGTAAATTCATCAAATTTTATCTTCCTTCGGCTTTCATCAAACTCAGCCTTCTGTCGGTAAATTTTTACAATCAATAAAAAGATTAAAACAAATATATCTATACCGCAAATATAACGGACCGTTGAAAAAACCAATAGTAACAAAATGATAATTATCAAAATTTTCATTCAAATAATGTTCAAATCAAAGTGTCCTCTTAAATTGTCGTAACCACACTTTGAACTTAACAACTTAAAGTATAAGACGTACTTTTACGTACGTTGTTCTTGATTAAAATAAAATTTACACCGTAGAAAATAAAGTTAAACATAACGTCAACCTCACAGAAAATTAATGGAATTTTATTATTTTTACGGATATTAATAGCAGTGTTTGATAAACATCAGCGAATTTTATATTAAGACTAGCTGACCCGGCAAACGTTGTGTTGCCGTATAAATAATTTCTAATGAATTTGTAGGGTAGAAAATTTTTTTTGGGGTGGACCACCCTTAACATTTAGGGGGACGAAACGTTGTCCGATTCTCCACCCTGGCCGATATGCACACAAAATTTCACGAAAATCGGTCGAGCCGTTTCGGAGGAATTCAATTACAAACATCGTGACAGTAGAATTTTATATATTAGATTTTATAGTGCTCGTCTCCGTTTTCTTAAGAAATAGTAATCATACGAGTATACTTAACAGGACAATTCGTAAACTAACAGAACGTGGGGAAATTATGCGCAAGACTTTCTATTTTGTATTAAATAACAGTTTGAAATTATTTAACTTTCATATAAATATGTTTAAAGTGTTTCATTACGTGTTTCTAGATGGCGCAATACATTAAAAGTATTATCACAGCAAAGTGCTGATAATATTTTCTAAACGTTGCTCGTAAAACATTTCAATTTTGCTGCGTATCGGTTGTAAAAGTAACAGCCACTTGTGCTTTACTGCTCGGCAATAAAGTTTATTTTTATTTGCTCTCCGCTCTGTCATCGGCTATTGTGTGCGTGAAATAAATCCAATAAAATCTTGGATGTATATGACCTTTTAAAGTACGTTGATAAATAATTTACCTGAAATTTCTTCTCCTTCCTGAGTTCTTAAACCTTTATGCATCATACATCTTTACATATACTTATTGTGTCCGATTTTTAATGAAATTTTTTGTGTGTCTTCAGGTCGATTCGAGAATGGTTTAGATTCACAATTCGGTCCACTTCAATGTTTTTTTCTTTTTATTTCTAAGTAGTCGAATTTAAGTTTTACATATAAATATATACATTAATATAAATTACCAAACGTACATTTATGTTATTCATATTATTAACCTATACTAATCTTATCCTTTAAACGAGAAATTCTTGTATATATATATAATCGGAATCTCGGAAACGGCTCCAGCGATTTTCATGAATTTTTTTAGTATGTGCGTAGATTCGGGGGCGAAAAATCGATCTAGCTAGGTTTCATTTTTAGAAAATGTCATTTTATCCCTGTTTTCAGGGAATGAAAAATATAATTCGAATATGACGGTAAATTTCGCCGCAAGAGAAAATGTCGTATCTAAATGTAATTTCCAAAATACACGATTTACCAAAAAAAAAACAAACCGAGCAAAGCTCGGTTCTCCGGGTACTATACATATTATGTCGTGTAATAAAAACTGATTTGGTTCTGATTTGAATTGGTGGTCGATGTAAATGATTACGTTATTCTTGTGTTTTCTCCACGCATCTGCAGACCCCCAGTGTTTTAGATGTCCATGGGTGGTTGTTACCACCTTAACGTAAGGTGTACGCTGACTCGTTTGACAACTTTTCCATTAAAAAAAATATACGTAAGCCACTTTCTAGTAAGTGTTGACTTTCCTGATATGTCAGATTGTATTGGCACTATATTTGAAGGTGCATTATTTAATATTTACATTCGTTCATTTAACATTTCTCTTCCGGAAAATTAACGTATGTGAGATTTCAATATATTATATGGACTATAATGTATTATGTAGAAAATAAGAGTACTGCAACTTATATTTGTTCGCTTCTGTATCAGGGAAAAAGTTTATTAGGTATAAGCTATAAACCGGGACATTATGAGATCGTAAAAGCTATTTTGCTAATAAGTTCGTCCCTTTCATTAAGGACTAACTATAAATGAACTTCAGTCCATTAAAATGAGTATCCCTTCTTATAATTACTGAGACGACGTGCTTTATTACAGAAATTTGAAGAGTATTAAAATGACAGGACAAACTTTATCATAATCATTAGTGACTTATACAATATTTGGTGTCACTAGATGAGTCATAAAATTTTGGATACATTTGGTTTTATGGCCAACAAAATAACAAAAACGTTTAATATCTTTTTATCACATCAGAAATCTAAAAAGCTTTATATCTAAAGTGTGATGTTTTACTTGCAAATATTGAACCGAGTTTGGCATCTTATCATTGTAGCAATATCTACTATATTATACCTAATAAAGGAGTTTTAATTATAAAACAAGAATACAGTCTGTAACAGAGAAATATCGCGTATACTTGCGATTAGTTTTATTTTAATAAAGAATTAGCTGCCTTAAAAAAAGTCAATAAATTAATTTTACAAACGGTTATGGCTATAAAAAACTACCGCGTGTTATATTTTTGGCAGAGGAACGCAAGTGCTTGAAGAAAATTACTTTAGGAATGTCGTAAAATTATTTACTACAAGGCAGACCTCATGGCTTTCAGGTTCTTTTATGAAAAGCTTATATAAGCTTTGATTTTATGTAAATTTATCGGACATTTTTCCTTAATCCTGCGTTATGTAAGTACATTATATTACAATATAAAAAGACAAGCAATTTGGTGTTCCGGCTAAAGCAATCATAAAAAGAAATCGACGCAAGCGTGCCGTTTATTTGAACTAATAAACAGCATGTATTTTTAAGTGTTAATAAGTAGGTAATATTAATAGAGTAAGTTGTTTTTAATCTTTATGTGTAATTGGCAAAGTAGGTTGTAAATATTAGCCCAGGAAAAACTCTGTCAGTCTCGCTTTGAAGGTTATCCACGCCAAATTGGGACGGAAAGACAAATAAATACCTGAGAAAGTTTCCAATCATGTGCTGTATTTGGTGTATGGCTATTACAGGATATACGGTTAAATAACGTTTT